AGCAGCGGGCATTTTCTCACTGTGGTGCGAGTAGTTGGCCTGGCTTAGCTAAGGGAATGTAATGGAGCTGACAACAACATGGATCTCGTACATTGATATAGATAAAGTTAAGAAAACAACTGTCCATTATTTTTAGAAGTAGATTTTGGGTACCATATACAGTTGTTATAAATTTTAAGATGGCAGGGATAAAAAATCACATACAAACTATTATTGTTGTAGGTATTTTTTAAATCAAAAAAGTATTTTAATTCCAAACTTTGACACAAAGGCCAAAACTACCTCATCCCCTTAAATTGGTTTGTTAACGTTTTAGTGTAGGCCTACTTATGTCCGATTTCCTTTTTTGGGAAAATACATTTAGTTTTAGTCAAGCTAGGTCACATCGATTCTATCAATGAATTTTTGAAGACACACTTAGGTGCACATTTGAAGCTGAATAAGAATATAGAATTGAGAGAATGATCTGTGTATGTTTATCACTCACTGAAATCAGCTGTTTCTTAGCTAGGACCATTTATTTATTGTGATCATCCAAGTTAGGTTTTAAACCCTCAAAAGGCTACAGATTTTTTCCAGAACTTATCTGCTGTCATTTTTATTTCTTGGCAAGCACAATAACCCACTCAGTTACCCAGCTTCATTCATGATGGGTCATATTAAAACTTTCCTCACTTTCTTCTGAAGTATTATTATTTGTTTAAGTTCTCCTGTATGATAGCTAGGCTTGCCGAGCGTAGCATTTCATGTGAATACCGTTTAAACCTTCCAAAATGAGCTGCCTATTATACTTTCTGCCACACTACCAGCAAAATATACAGGATACGTAAAACACAACCCATACACACAACCTCAATGCTGATTATTATACAGTACACTATTTTAACACATGTTGGAAATGAAAGTGCAATATATCTTGCCAAACCTGTGTATTATTAATTGTGTAGCTTTGTTGAGTGTCTACTAGAAAACTCAAAGTATGCATGTTTGAAAAACTGTCACATAAGAGTGATCTGTAAATTTACCGGACTCCAGCTGATTTTACTGCACTCAAGCTGATTTTATCGTACTCCAACTGATTTTATTGTACGCCAGCTGATTTTACTGTACTCCAGATGATTGTATTGTACTTCCACTGATATGATTGTACTCCAACTGATTTTATTGTACTCCAGCTGATTTTACTGTACTCCAGATGATTGTATTGTACTTCCACTGATATGACTGAACTCCAACTGAGTTTATTGTACTCCAACTGATTATACTGTACGCCAGCTGATTTTACTGTACTCCAGATAATTTTATTGTACTCCCAACTGATTTTATTGTACTCCAGCTGATTTTACGGTACTCCAGATGCATTTCCCAGCCCATTTCTGTCAAAAACAACCTCCTGGTCTTCAAAAAGTACATTAACAAGCTGCTTTGGTGACAAGTTTTTTGTTAAGTTATTTAATTAGCGTGTACTAAGCCCATTATAAACCAGGTCTGTCAGTCCTCGGTTGGACTATGGTTGTGTCTTGTTTATGATCCAGGTTAGCAGTTCAGTTATCTAGAGGTTGGCAACTCGCCAAAAGCTATTTCAACGTCATTGGCAACTTCTGATACACAATTATGTATATTGATGAGAGATTTCCAATGAACTTTTTTTGGCACCTTATCGTGTAATGTTATGGAAAATTATAAGAATAATCTAATGATTCTTAGGTTGTGTCCTTGTGGGTTTAAACTTGTGAAATACAGAAAGAGTGAATCCATTTGGGTAGCAAGTGGTTTGCTTTTGATTTGTATAGAAATACACTTAAGGTTTAAACTTTTTGCGAGAATTGGTCTTTATTTTATGTACTCAGGATAAAATACATTGAATACTATCTATTAGGTTTTCTGGTGTTGATAAATCAATTTATTTACACAAAACTTTAAAAGAAGTTTAAAAAAGATTATCAATGTTAAACAAAACTTGTTTATTTTACTAATCAGTGATGTAAAATGTCAGCAATAATCATATAAACGACTTGGTTATTTTATGTAAAATTTCACATAGATTGCAGATGGAAATTTCTGTGTTCATTCAATTCTTTATGTACGCTGAGAAACAAGTTAGAGAATAAAACAGGGAAGGTTTAGCAATTACAAGTTTTTTTTTTCATTTCAGATAATAGCTCTAAGCAAAGGTTAACAGTGGAATTAAAAATTTAGCACCAGTTTGTAAGTATATTTTGTTTTTTTTAATGGTATTCCTGCCTCAAATGGACGCTTAATTCTGCTGTTTGTTCCTTGTTTTGTTTGCACTAACACATGAATTTGCCTAGTCTTTATTTTTCGATTTAAAAAATGTCACTGAAATTTGTTGATATTTATTTTTGATCATTAAGTACATGTTTACGCTTTGGAAATATTATTGATTTGACAGCAGATATGTGTTGATGGGTGAACTTAGTTTGATTATTTGTTGAAAGGAGTACAAATGAGAAGCGAACCAGATTACATGTTTTCTTTTATGCTTAAAAATTCTTGCTCATACAAACACATTTAAAGCTTCAGCACATATAGTTGTCCTAGACATGTTTTAATTTTACACACCAGTATAATAGCTATTTAGTTTTCAGATAGAGTAGTAATACTTTTCACACAAAAACACTGTAAAACAATATTTAAGTTAACTACACTTTGTATGTTATTCTAAATATCACCTACAAAAATATATAAACTCAAATAATGATTATGTCTGACAGTGCTCGATTTGCAGGGGAATGCGGCGGAACGGGGTTCCGGTACCTCTCATCAGAAAGATAAAAGTGTTGGCATAAATAGATACAAATTACATTAAATAGGTTACAGTTCCGGCACCTTATTTTTTCCATAAAATTATATCAACCAAATATATAAAAGTATATCAACCAAAATGAAATCATATTTTAAGTGTAAATATATTTAACTGGTTCCTTTTAGTTTTATTTAATAAAAATCATAAAAATTGTTTTGGGTTGAAAATCAATTAAGTTTTTAGAACTTTTCGGGTTACATTTTGATGACATTTGTAGAAAAAATCTTTAATAATATAGAAATATACTTCAACGGATAAAAATGGAAGTTTAACACTTCTCTTCCGAGACATACATGTATGAAACTAACAATTCAAATTTGGATCTACTGCTTGATGCTCTAAAATGTTCAGTTTTGAACAGTTTTTTTTGTTGTTTGTAAATAAACTTAATAGTAGGTCTTATGTGTTTTAAAACGATGTGAGTTGCAACTAAACATAAGTTAAGATGCATAAGTGTTGATTTTTTAGAAGGACTTCAGCTTTTAATCATGTAGTGGACTTGTTAATTATTGACAGTGTGTTTTGTGTCTGTGATGTCATAACCATTCATCAGTTATTGTTGTGAAGAAATAACCATTACTTCTTAATGGCTATTGCTGTTTGCCATTGTGGTTGGAGATAATTTTTAATGGCTAGTTAAATGATGTTGCATTTGAAATATGGGGCAGTAAAAATTATAGCCATTTTAAGTTTTACGTCACTCAGAACTTGACAGTTTTGCAAGTTCATACTGTAACTGCTGTTAAAAATTAAAACTATATGCAGGGTGAATCAAACCACCCGTGCACATACTTAAACGGGATATACAGCCGCTTGTCTAACTCACTGACTTACTGATCAGTTATACAAATGTTTACCGACTTCTAGAATAGCTAGGGGTCTGAAATTTTTCGTGGAGGTCCATCTCGGTCCCACACCACCCAGAAAATCCAAAAAAGATACATTTTCAAATTACAACTCCCTCCAAAAAATTCCTTTAAACCCCCCTTTTTTGAGAAAAACCATGTTTTTTTAACGGTTATAGCTCAAAAACGGTAAGAGCTAGATTTAAAAGAATTTTCATGGTCAGGAATTAAGTTTCATAGGACACTCTTTTGGGGTTTTTCGAAAATCACACTCCTTCACCTCCAAAAAACGCCCCATTTCTAAAACTGTTTAAATTACTTTTTGGTCATATATTTCTACTTTTAATGATCCCAACATTAAAAGAAAAGTGCCTAAAGTGACAATTTAAAATCATAACCATCTAAAAATAAATTTTAATGGCGGATTTTCAATAAAAAAAGGTTCTTTTACGCTTGCTGGGCTAAATCGTTATGCACGAGTGGTCTGATCCACCCTGTATACACATCAAACTTTACAATTGATTTCAATTACTGTAGATTGCAAAAAATAATGCAGTTAATGCATCAGTTAAAGTTAATACAGTTTACAGTTGCAGTAATGTAGTTTAGGTGAGTCGGTGGCTCAGTCGGTAGCGTCACAGACTTCGGGCCCAAGGCAGCGATGTCGAGGGTTCGGTCCTGGTCACTGCCAAAAACATTTTATTAGTACAGTTCACCTTTGTACTGTACCGGCTCACCCCTTGCTTTGCTGGATACGTTCCACGCGCAGGCAGTTAGTCTATGTGGACGGGCAAATGCAAGAAAAGAGGCCACCAACCTCTTAAAAAAAATGTAGTTAATCAGACTATCCGCCTACTACCAGAGGTAGCCGTACATTCTGTTAAGTCTCCGTTTTTCTGCATCACGTTGCCCAACATCTGCACACTATTTTCAGTGTTCATTCAGACCATGGATCCGTCAGGGAAAATAAACCCATTTTACCAATAAAAAACGCTTATAAAAAGCCCAGTCTTTCTGGTATTGCCTCATGGGCATGCATCGTTGATCGAGCAGTTTTCAATTATGAAAGCAGATTTGGAGGATTCCTAGGTGTGTATTTTAACACAAATATGAAGGATGTGTAAAGAATGGAGTTAGATTTTCTGTGTATCTTTGTTACTCACTAAGATCAGCTGTTCCATTAGACAGCTATCATTTAAACATTTCAGTCTCCACTAATGTCTGGTTGTCTCGCTCACTACAGCTGTTTGCATCATTGACAACAGCTGTTTGCTCTTGTTTTACTTGTGTATATTTAAGTATACTAAACCTATGTGGATGTGTTATAGGCAGTAGAGCTGTTTGCTGCAATGAAGGACCAAGCGACAAGAGTTCCTCCGCCAACACGTACGCTCAGTAACGCTGCTACTCTGACCTCACTATGTGCGGACATATCTCCCAGCTCATCACACTTCTTTGAGGTACACTACTAACATATATTGGGGCTTATATAACATGTTGTATATGAAGTAAAGTGAAATAAAACTCATTTAAAAGTACTTGGTAAGTACAAAATTCTCGTGTAAGATAGAATCTACGCTTATTTGTCTGTGCATAATCCTGTCTGGAACATAACTGAACGACAAAGATACAAAATGGGTAAAAAATAATTAACAAAGTTTCCTAAACTAATTTATAATAGGTTACGTACCTTTCTCTATCTTCATTCTTGAAACTGTGGGCTGGGGAGTACAACTTTTGGGTCATAAAACCCATTCTCAAATCAACATAAAATCAGTCCATGAAATCTGACAGAAGTCTTCATCCATAAATGAACACAAATTGACACATAAAGCTCACAACACATATATTTACCTATTTCTTCAACTACTGGGGGATTAAATAGAATCCCAACTACATACTCTGCACTTACCAGTGCTCGGATCGATTCCACTTTTCAATATCGGCTACCGTCATATTTTGCTACATTGTGGTTCGTGTAGTGTATTAGACAGTTGACAATCAACTGACTGCTCGGAGGGCTTTTCAAGCAACGCTCTCATATTTCCCGTAATGTTAAGGTGGAAAAATACAGCTATTCCTACTACAGTTAAGTCACCACGTTCAGCGTTGGTTCAATTCAATTCAATTCAAAACTTCTTTATTTGTTTAATGTACAGCAATACAATAAATAGTGTCACAGTTCCTTAATATAACTCAGTACATTGTTGAATTGTTCAGTTATGAAATTGACAGTTATCTACATACATCAGCATTCACATCAGTTAAATTGTATAACTCTTCAAGAGAGTAAAATGCATTTCTGATCAAAAAACTTTTGAATTCACTTTTGAACTTGTTTTGATTTTCTGTATTCAATATTTCTATTGGAATATGTTTTAAAAATACAGAACTGGCATAGGATGGTTACACCTCTTGTATAAGCCAAATTACTCTAGTTGGATTGACCGTAAAAATGTTAGACCTTGTCCTCCTACCTATTACAAAGGCTGTTCAGTGCCTTTTTTATTCACTACGACTATATTTTTCAGGTTTCAATATTATAATTACAGTACAATAATTTCTGCTTAAGGTTAGGTTTGGTTAGAACTAAGACTTAAAATAAGAACGTTTATTGTGTATTATCATACTTACAAACGATATAGTAGTAGTGAATAACCAGAAAAGGTCCATTTTAATTATAATTTACATGAATGTATTTTATAAATTAAATAATTAATGAAATAGCTAGGAGATTGGATTTTTGTTACATAATCTATATTCAGAAAACTATGCAAGATTACAAAATTTCTCATTGTACATGTTTTAGCGAATTGTTCAGTTTAATGTTTTAGGTAAAATGTGTTTTTATAAACAAAATTCACTTCTTCCTTGACCATAGTCAGTTTAAATACCCCCGCCGCAGCAAACCTGCAGACTAAGCGAATTTCCATTTCCCTGAATGGATTTACACTAAAATGTCTCCTTAAAAATATCACATTTATTCCCTATTTAAAAAGAATCAGTTTAAAACATACTTAGGTTTGCTGCAACAGGGAGGGTAAAAGTGTTTTTTATGTAAAATGTTAATAGTTGGTAAGAAATAAAAACATTTTCCAAATTTGGGCAAAATATGTTAATAAACAAGCAAACTACAACAGTTTACTTATTCTCCATAAGAATAACATGGAAATTTTAAATTTACAATTTTTTGGAATTTTCTCCGTAAATATTAGGCGCATTATAACGCTTCAATATACTAAATTATTTGTTTTTTTAAGCTCTACAAAATAGTTTAGAAAGAAATTGCAAAATTTTATGTTTTTTGGGTCAAAAATGGGAAAAACCCATTTTTACCCCATAAAAGCCCCCATAAACCCCCGTTCCCATGGTCCGATCATGCTGGTTCGCGAACTCGTTCGAATAAACGTAGGTTTACACGTTTGTACCAAATTTCATCAAAATCGGATCATTTTTGCTCGAGTTATTGCGCTAACGGACATATATATATATATATATAAAAAAAAATATATATATATATATATATATAAAAATATATATATATAAATATATATATATATATATGAATTTGAACGGATGGTGTTTTTGGCCTCTAGGGACCTCAAAACGAAAAAAAAATCGGTCCTGGGTCCAGGTCTTACCATGAGTACTACGGAAATAGCTTATTCCCTATATGGGAAATTCGCTAAAAGAGACTGTTGCTTGCTAACCATTTTGATTTTTAACCACTTTTGAAATACATTTTTGATAATAAACTGACTGTTTTAGGTGCTGTACATAGGAAAAGTCAGAGTGAGCCAGAAAAAGATATCAACAGACACATTTATTGACGACACGTTAGATAAGTTTAAAAATTATGAGCTAGAAAAAGAGAAGAAAAATGCTCTACAGACAGCTAAAGAAGAAGAAGCATCTAGCTCCCAGGTAGATACAAGTACAGTAGACTCTCGCTCATCCGGACTAATGTGGCGGACGTCCGGTCCGGATTACGAAAAATCCGGACTATCGAGAGTCGAGCAAATACACAGTACTGTATATAGACGTTTTTTTCAATTTTGTTCCAGGTCCACAGTAATGATAGCTGGGCATATGCACTTCCACCATCGGCCAAATTTTGTTCCAGGTCCACAGTAATGATAGCCCAGGCATATGCACTTCCACCGGTAATAGTTTTTACCGCCGTATTATATGAGTTTTTTCATTATTCGAGGTAGTCTACAGTACTGAGCCACTAAAAAAAATCACGATTGCCGATCCGGACTACCGGGAGTCCGGACAAGGCCGATCCGGATGAGCGAGAGTCTACTGTAATACCAATTTAGTTGTTTACTTTGGGTTCAGGCCTGGTCAGGTCACAAATGTTGATCTCCTGGTCTAAAATAAAAATTGACAGAAAGTAAATCTTGGTAAATAAAAGAAACATCTTATAACACGTAAAATATATATTTACGCTTATACTGTTACTCACAAGACAGTAAATATACATAAAAGATGGTAAGTGGTGATCGATTTTGATTGGACACTCCAATCATCATCAGACCCAATAGGCGAATGACAGGAATCTTGAATGGCATCCTTACTTATATCCTAATTCCTTACTTATATATATAACTAGCTGTACCCGCGGGCTTTGCCCCGTTTTACTTCATAAGTGAGCTCGTTCGCATGGCTCAATCACGTCCTGGTTGAAGTTCGTTCGCTACGCTTACTCACTTTAAGTTGGAGCTCGTTCGCTGCGCTCACTTGCCTTCAGGTTAGCTCGTTAGCTACGCTAACTCGCCTCCACGTTGAAGTTCGTTCGCTACGCTCACTCACCTTTTGGTTGCAAATTAGCTGTTGTCATAAATTAAAAAAAAAATAATAGTGCTGCACCCTGTTGGTAATCCTTGTAACTTTAATGCTATTGAACATCATAGAACAGAACAAACTTGTTTAATTGAAACAGCTGTTAAGATTCATTAATTCCATTTAAATATGAGTACTCATAAGGTTAACATGGGAAACTCCAGAGCCACTGGAGCGGAGCCCGAGAGTCCGATCAGAATGAAAACAACTTAGTTTTCCTTTTTAATGCCTAAAGAATCAGTGTACCAAATTTCAGCCTCCTAGGTAAATGGGAAGTGGGAGAATTAGTGATGAGTGAGTCAGTGAGGGCTTTGCCTTTTATATATATAGATTCTTCCCAATCATTCATTACATATCCTGTTTTACAATTCTTTAAAATACATAGTCTATCCCTCCATTGAATGGCCATTTTGTCAAAGGTGTTGTGCACCTAGACGGGGTTTGATCTTTCCCGTTTGTTGTTCTTCCACAAAGATATGTGGTTTTTGAAGTGGTTAACTAAGTTCACAGCCTGTCCAATGTAGAAGCTATCACAATCGTTACAATTGATTTTGTAGATGCCTGTAGCGTCGAATTTGTTACATTCTTCTATTTTAGGATGCAGTATTTTATGGTTTTCTGAGTCCTGAAGGCTATTGAAACTTCCTATTTTTTAAATCTGTTAACAGTCCTTGTCTGCGGTATAAAAGACCCAATCAGAGCTTGGCCCAATAACTATTATTGGCCCTAACCGATCTCTCAGGCCAACCGTTGGCCCAGCCCGACCTAAAAATTATGGTAAAAATATGGTCTTCAGCCTCTTAAGCCGTGTTTACACAAAGGAAGTTGTCAGGCAGGTCACCTGCCTCAGGTAACTTGAAATGGATTAGAGACACCCAGTGGATTGAGGGGATTATCTGTTCCGTAACCTGTCCGCTATCCTGGCCTCGTGTAAATAGGGCTTAGTGGTTAATTGGCTCTTCCCCTGTACAATCTTCTAGCACCCTTGTAGCTTAGTTTATTGTTCAGGATTTAATATTGTAAACACATACTATTCACAGAAGAACCTTGATAACAAGTCTCCCTTAGGGATAATCCAATATGACTTGTTATCAAGGTTGACTCCTTATAATCGTCTGCAATGACATTTAACAAAGGGTAACATAAAATCAAGGGTTCTTGAAAATTACACTTGTTATTGAGGTCCATTTGTTAAAGATCTTCTTATCAAGGTTCCACTGTATTTGATCACTTTAGTGTTTTGTTTATAGGAAGAAGATGTGAAAGAGCAATCACCCTCTATATCTGAGTCCAGCTCTTCTCCTAACCTGGCCTTAGTAACAACTTCTCAAGACAACACTCAGGTTGTTGAAACAACCAAGGCGGATACGTCTGAAACACAGTTAGTACAATTTATAAAATGTTATCTATTTAAATCAAGCCTTATGGTGTAAACAAATGTTAATGTATCAAATAGGCTATTTATTCAGTGACATAAAACTGTAAAATTGTATTAATGAATTTTATAGTATAGATAGACCATTGTGGAAGTTCTCATTTCATCTTGATTCATTCGAGTTGGCAACCCTGTTTCAGAGGCTTGGTGATGAGGCTAAGATCAGGGTCTGTTGGAAGTGTTCCTCAAATTAATGTGAAGAAATCTGATTCTGGGGTAAGTTGGAGTAAAACTATTTTTTTACACGGTATAAACAGCTGTTTTCAATACGTGAAATGCATTTTTTTTACAAGAGAATCAGCTGTAGTCGTGTACATTACACGCACATTTTCCAGGCTTTATAATCTGTCTACTTATTTTGTTAAACAAAATAAAATAGTCCCTATTGATAAAAATATTATGTTTTTTGACATTATTTGTGTTTATCTTTGTGTCGAATTGTACATTTCACCCCTTATCGACAATAGGCATACTGATATAAAATAATTTTGGTAATTTGAATGTATTACCTATTGTGTTTTGGGGAAATGTATGTTACAAATTGCAGGTGTGAATTTAAATAAATATAGACGGTGCATTTATCAGTGTTATTTGTCACGATCCCACCAGCACTGTGGAATCATACCAGCAATTAGAAGTTCCTGTTTTAGTTTTTTTTTGTTTTATTTACTATGTTAAGTTATCAAACTTTTCTTATTTCAATATAAATAGCCTATTACGACTCACTCCCACGCACGGGTTTTTCCATGGGGGATTACAGTGAGGTTTAAACTTACCTCTTTTGTACATATTATATTTTGTAAACATTGTTTACTTTATACGAATCACTTTAACTTTAACTTTTCATCTGTCAAAGATGCAATTTTTGAAACTTGATGAGTGTGAATAAAAATCAGGTTAAGTTGCGTCATTTTATCCAGGCTTAATTATGTATAAAATTACGCTCACATGGAATAATCATGGGAATTTAAATAATGATTCTCGAGACAAACAACACTCTTAAAGCTAAATTATATGTAATTTTAATATTTTGTTGTTTGGTTCTTTTATACACTATCTTCTGAAAATATTACTAATCTGTAATATTTAATGGAATAATGTGTTTTCATGCTTGCTCAAAAGAGGTGTAGAAGAGTAAGTATAAAGGATAAGAACTATTTGTGATACAGTAAAACCTCACTACCTCGACGACCGGAAACTCGACAGTCATGTAACTCGACAGTCCTTGTAACTCGTCAGTAAATAGCAGGGCGTTGTATAGCTGGCTTTTAGAATCATATTTTTTGTTAAAATTTTAACTAAAATGGAAAAGTAGTACCTTTTAAATTGACGAAGATGGAAGGATAGATAGATAAATGGAAGGATTTCCAGTTGAACTGGTTTCCGGTATTATATATACCCGATTATTCAAAGTTATGATGTATTTTATTATTTCTTCATAGTATGAACCTCGAATTAAACTATTTTTATCGGTTGACAGGTGAACAACACAACCAAGGTAGAAGACAACAGGACGATGGTGTTCCAAGTAGGACACTACGACCTAAGACTCATCAGTCCTGACAGGAAACAAGTGCTGCTACATAAACAGCTGAAAGACATTGTCTACTGTGTCCAGGTAAACATATGAGATTGGAAGAAACGTATCAAGTAAATTTGTTTGGAAATCAAACTTTCATTAACTTACATTTATTTTGTTTTTTTCATGTCCCATCGTTGCATCCTAGGATGCTAGGATCTAGTCCGGAACCGTGTTTGTTTACATATGACTTCAGGCTAAGCCTAGAGGGTCGCTGAAATATCACTAAAAAGCCATTGGGTCATTGACAGTATTTTAACCCATTACCTCAAGGACCAAAGTCTCATGCTCTATTACTAAAGCTCGCTCTCTGTTATTTCCTGTTTATTTCAAAATTACATACTTACAAAATAATTTAAGGCCTCTGATCACTGGATTAATTGGAAATTATTTCTATGCTCTGATCGATTAAGTAATCCGTGTTTAGTTGTACATAATACGACATGGTAATGGGATGTATAGTTCTAGACTAGTTCATCATCAGATGTCAATAGTGTTAAAAATGTTGTATATCCGTCTAAACCATCGCAATTACAAACATAAAACACACACGCAATAAACATTGAACAACTGAAAACTAACCAGTACGAGTATAAAACTTTTCTAGTGAAGATAAGTGATGATTCATTTTTTGTGAGGATAGCAGACTTACCTGAATGAAAATAGTCCGATCTGGCTCAAGAAACACAACACTTTACACTGTACCCAAATAATAAAATTGTCTTTATTTTTAAGTGTCATGTAAAGTTATATGTTTCTTGAGATAAGACTTTTTCCCATTCGGGTAAGCCCGTCGTACAAAGAATCCTAAACATCATTTAATTTGTTAGCTTGATTTGTAAATGTAAACTTTTAATATTTAACAGGGCAACAAGCATCACGCACACTTTGGTTTCATCTGCCGGGAGTCAGGTCTAGACTACCACGTTGGATATGTCTTCAAGTGTGAATCGGACTCTGTAGCAGACGACGTTGTTGGTGGTAAGTTCTTTAACGACAAATCAAATCATAATATAGTTTATTACCTAATAAATTTACATGACAAAAACTACAAAATGTTTTCTGAAATTGTGAGAGTGATCTTTAAAACAATGTGCTTGCTCGAGACTACGTGCTTGTCAAGAAGTTTAAATCATCTAGGCCTATTTTATATAGGTATTTAAATAACTTTATTTTCAAGAAAATTTTCTTGCTACTCTTCTACTGAAAAGCTGTTCCATCACTTTAGAAACGGCTGTTTAATATATTGCCACAAAATACAATTGTAAAAATATATTTGTCACTAAATAATATATGTTTGCTCATATTCCAGCCATCTCACAAGCCCACATAACGGCCTGTGAAGCTGTTCGTAAGGAGAAACAACCCGTTTTGTCTTGTGAACACTGTCCCATGGTTTGGTACCATAAGCTCTGCGCTGAAATTGAAAGTAAGTTTAAACTGTCAACTAGCTTAGGTACTTTAAACTGTTCACTAATAATTTCATAATTGATTTATTTTTATTTTTAGTGCTTTCACTAGGCTTATCAAGTCAATATTCTAGTTTACTCATTGGGGTCTGCAGGTGATACTTTTTTACTTTAGATTGGGTTAAGGAGATCCGCCACCTTTAAATGGCCAATTTTTAAAATTTTTTTAATTTTCCAAATATGTTATTTTTTTATTCTACACACTTTTCTGAGTATGTGTGTAGATTTTTATCTAAATCTGATTATTTTTTCATACAAAAAGAAATGAAATAAAATATTGACTCAGCTACGCTTCAAGCTTCAGTATCGACCTTCCCTGAGTAAGCCTCAACTTTAAACTCTGTTTCCCAAAATTTGGATTTTCCGTGTTTCTTGATACAAAAATTTGAATAACTTCTAAAGTATATTAAATAAAATTATGAAATTTTTACCACTATTTCATTGTTATATTACCAATATTTTGTCTTATGGAAAACACTCTGACTTTAAAACTAACTGTGAAAAAAAAATTATAAATAAAAAAAAAAACTATAAATATTATGTGTTTTTAATTGTTTGTAACTTTTTTCCTAGCAATTTTATCTTATTTTCCATAAGACAAAAGTTTCTTTAAGCTATAAGGAATAAAAATTAAAAAAAATCAAGCCAAATGGTTAAAAAGCAAAAAAGTTATTTAAAGTATAAAATATGTGTAAAAAACGTAAAAAAACGTTAACATTTCAAATTATAAGATACTTAAAAGGGTTAAAAAAATAATTCCACCTGGAAACCTTATTTCTAACACTAATAAAACAAGCAAAAATGTTATTAGCAAAATTCACTTAAAAAATAAAAAAAATCATATTTAAGGTGGCGGATCGCCTTAAATGTTTTAGCCCTCACATCTAGACCATAATCAGGATAATTTGGAAAGCAGTAATTTTTAATAATATTTATTGTAATAGGTACTACAATTTTTATAAAATAATTTTTATAAATAATATTAATATTGTACATTATCTCGCCCATATCATGAACATCTTCCTTACGCACGGCAAATCGTGAACGTCCTCCGCGGTCATGGCAAAATCTTGAACATCACCCGCGATCCGGGCAATCGTCAATTTTTGATAGCACATCTCCGCAGACCCTTCAAGCGATCGCGAAAATTAAAGCTCGGCACTGCACAACCTCCCCCCTATACCAATAGACGACATGACCCTACTCGAAAATATCAGTGACCCACAGACCCCTTTGCATAACAGGATTTTATGTCACAAAATCATGTTTTTTATCAAGTAGCAAATTATGTAGTACTTACTCATTTTAGGCCTACAGATTTTATTTTAATCAGTATTTCTGCATCTCCAGGCCAGACGAGTGACAAGCGAGTGCAGTCGACCATCTTCCGCAGACTGGAGCTGCTGCCAGAGGAGGAGCAGGAGGTGGTGTTGACTAAACTGAGAGGGGCCGAGGCATTGAGTGATACCAGTGTGAAGGAGCAGAACGAGCTGTTGATGATGCTGCTGAGAGCTCACTGTGAGAGCAAACAGAGCAGACATGTACACGACACAGCAGAGAATAGGTGAGATCACATTTACAGAGGTCTTAGGGTCTAACAGTTGGAACAACGGGTCGGTTTGAGCCTAAATAATTTTCGGGCTAAGCACAGGCTGGGTCGAGCCAAGTTGAACTTTTATTTTCATTATTCCAGACAGTGTCTGGCTAGATGTGTGATCAAAATTGACGATTAGCCACGATGGTGGGTGATGTTCATAATTTTGCTGCGATTGTGAGATATAGTGATGATGTAATGATGTTCACCCTTTTGCCATGACTAAGGAAGATGCTCATGATCTCACAGTAACAGCAAAAGATGTTGACAATTTTGCCATGACCACAAAAGATATTTTTGATTTTGCTACGGGATCACTTCTTCACTGCTATCGTTCCAAATAATAATTTTTAATAGAACATTGTTTTTCAATTTCAAACCCACAATCATACCAACAAAGTGTAGCCTAGAGGATTTTTTTTCCAAACTCATTTGTTGACATTTGTCCGCAGACATGAATTCCTGAACCACATGTTGGGCAGCAGCACCATCTTCATGAAGGCCAAGCGGTCATTGACCAGCTCGTTTGACCAGCTGCTCAAAAGAAAAGGCTCCAAGGATGATTTGGCTCATTCTGACCTTCCTGTCAAGAACACTATGGTTAAGGAACTCAGTTTGCCGATGAACGCTGCTCTGTGTAAGGTTAGTGCAGAAAACAACTATAAAGGCTGGGAATTGATGTGTCAAAATTGAATCTAAAACCTTAAAACTTTGGAAAGTTTTAATATTAAGATACAATAAATGACAAGTATAGCGTTGCAACCTATAGGCTATAGGCTTGCTAGAGGTTCCTCAGACGCCCACCCCCACCTGTAGCAGCACCCTGTCGAGTTTGGCCCCCCTCCCACATTCATATAATACTAGTTGCTTGAAAATCCATTTTACAATCTTAAAGAATATTTTGAAAGTCTAGGATTTTGAATAAATAGAATAGCAGCTAGCTTACATTGGAGAAGTGTAGGTAGCCCATAGAACATACAGAAGTGACACTTTACACACCTGGACTTTTTCAAGTGTGGATAAAGTGGTAGAAAGATAAAAGCTAGTTGCTATCCTCCTTATTCTACAATTAAAAATCCTGGCCTACAGCCTTTCCTTGAACGAAACTAAACATTTTGAATGTCTAGTCATTCAAATATAAAAAGTGTAGCCTACCTGCTTAATAACATGAATTATTTGGTCAACTTGTCCGTGACATTTTTGTTTGTTTTGGTTACTGTGTGACCTATTAATTTGTATATTGTTGATTATTGAACATATCTATTGAATTATTAGAATGCTGAATGACAGTAAAGAGTTGATTTGATGATTACAGGACAGCAACAACAGCAGTAGTATGACACACTCAGCATCATCCGGCTTGCTAGAGGTTCCTCAGACGCCCACCCGCACCCGTAGCAGCACCGTCGGGTCTCTACCTGACACGGGTGACACACCCGACACACCCAAGAGCAGTCCCATGATGAACATGTGAGTGACATTTTGATGGGGAATAATTTATCGAAGAACAGTGTGATCTAAATTGGGATTATTGAAAAAAAAACCCTAACAAACATTTTAAATGGTGTAAAATCAGTAAAACTTGACTGACCTGAATGAAAAGGGTCGGGCTGTTAATTAGTGGATGGAATATAAAGGCGAGTTAGTTAAAATCTATACATACATAAATTACCGTGTTGTCTGCCCAATTATATTATTTAAAAGCTGTAGGAATTAACAGTTTGTATGAGTTAACGCATCATCATCTTGCATAGTAAATGGTTATTATTTGAATGTATTGCAGATTCCTAAAGGTCGGACACAACACCTCGCCCAAAGATGAGATTGAAACTCCAGGAAGACAGGCAGGCTCCTGGCGTCAAGCCATCTTTAACACTGTCGTCACTCCTAGTAAAAACCTACAAGGTAATGGTGTACATGAATTTGGAATGTATGGGACGAGATGGTATTTTTATTTTATTCCTGATTTTCGGGACGAGTCGAATGTCTTATGATCATAGTAAAATAGTGAACATCTCCTACAGTCACAGAAGCATCATTTAGTCTCATGGGTTTGCCAAATCATTGTGAACATCTACGGTCACATAGGCATCATTTAGTCTCATGGGTTTGCCAAATCATTGTGAACATCTTCTATGGTCACAGAGACATCATTTAGTCTCATGGGTCTGCCAAATTTTTGTGAACATCTTCTACGGTCACAGAGGCATAATTTAGTCTCATGGGTTTGCCAAATCATTGTGAACATCTCCTACGGTCACAGAGGCATCATTTAGTCACATGGGTTTGCCAAATCATTGTGAACATCTCCTACGGTCACAGAGGCATCATTTAGTCTCATGGGTTTGCCAAATCATTGTGAACATCTCCTACGGTCACAGAGGCATCATTTAGTCTCATGGGTTTGTCAAATCATTGTGAACATCTCCTACCGTCACAGAGGCATCATTTAGTCTCATGGGTTTGCCAAATCATTGTGAACATCTCCTACGGTCACAGAGACATCATTTAGTCTCATGGGTTTGCCAAATCATTGTGAACATCTCCTACGGTCACAGAGGCATAATTTAGTCTCATGGGTTTGCCAAATCATTGTGAACATCTCCTACGGTCACAGAGGCATCATTTAGTCTCATGGGTTTGCCAAATCATTGTGAACATCTTCTATGGTCACAGAGACATCATTTAGTCTCATGGGTTTGCCAAATCATTGTGAACATCTCCTACGGTCACAGAGGCATAATTTAGTCTCATGGGTTTGCCAAATCATTGTAAACATCTTATAGGGTCACAGAGGCATCATTTAGTCTCATGGGTTTGCCAAATCATTGTGAACATCTCCTACAGTCACAGAGACATCATTTAGTATCATGGGTTTGCCAAATCATTGTGAACATCTCCTACGGTCACAGAGGCATCATTTAGTCTCATGGGTTTGCCAAATCATTGTGAACATCTTCTACGGTCACAGAGACATCATTTAGTCTCATGGTTTTGCGGAATCATTGTGCCTATGCACATCGTCTTCTGTCAATACTGGCGACATCTCCTACGATTGCAGAAAATGTCATCATCGTCACTCTACACGTAGAAAAATAGCTGACAATTGGAACAAATCCCGTCTCAAGAAAAATCCTGAATTAAATGCAATTCCATCCCTAAAATTGTAAATATATCCTGGCTATAGTGTTTGTCTTTAGGTATGTAATCTGTACCATTTGAGAGTAATTTATTTATTTTTTTGATCTTCTCTAACTTTCAAGGGATAAGTAAAATGAAGCAGGTATCGTAGCTTGACATGTCTATATAATGAATCTACATATTTATGAAATAATTTATTTTCTCTTTTCAGAAAACCGTGCGTTGGACAGTTTGAGCAAACGAGATAAAGCTGATTTGAGAGCGTTATGGAGGAAAGCTATCAACCAACAGGTGTTGCTTATACGAATGGAGAAGGAAAACGCTAGACTCAAAGGTAACATCAATTTAATTCGATAATCAATTTAATTTAGTCGATCATTTATCATCATGTATTACCTGTAAGATGGAAAGTTGGTGAAACAAAAAATTCATAATTAACTACACACAGTAAAAACACTGACCAAAATATGGGGAGAAAATCTATTTCGGATAACCTTCTTTATCCTTATTATTTACTTCTTAAATTGAAAATCGTTACTTAACAAGCAGGTTATATACCTAACCTGTCACCATTGTCAATCCTATAGTTTTTTAACAGATCTCTACAGTTTCAAGGCAAGTTGGCTCATTGTCAGATCATTTCTTCTTCATTTTCTTTTGAACATTTGTCATCGTCAAATGAGTTCATACTCATAAATACACAAAACAGTTAAACATTGTGTATTTACGCGTGTGAACTCAAATGTCACCGAAGACAGTGACCAACTGCATTATACACTTTAATTGAACATTGTTTAAATATTTAACATTTTCTATTTATTTGACACTATTAGACACAGACAGTTGGTTATTACAATTTAAGACCTATCCTAACCTAACTATAAATATCTTGTAGAACATTTCAAACTGAAAAACATAGTCTATGCCAGACAAGGCCCATAAGACTTCAGTATGCAAAAGTCAATAACTCCTTCATGATTACAGCTAGTCAAGAAGAAGCTACAATGAAGCGTATCAAGTTGGAATATGACGACATTGGCGCACTTGGTCGACAGAATCTGGAGGTTTGGGAGATGATCATCAACAAAGAGGCGAGGAAAGCTGACGAGCGTATACTTACTCAAGCTATCAGACAAGGTAAAACATGTAGTTGGTATTTTATGGCAACACAAAACACAACTCGATAGTATAAATTGGCCTAGAATGGCGATACACATGCTCTCATCCTTTTTGGTTTTATTTGTGCAGGCTAGACTGGTTGGCAAACAGTTTGGGTTTCAATAGTTTCTAATATTTATGTTGCCCATCTTTTTTTAAATCTAAAAAATCTTGTAAGGCCACTTTCATGCTTTATGTGGTCACCTACCTTCCTACAAACATATTGTTGGTGTCATGACTTTAACATACACTTTTTAAACACTTTAATTTATTATATTTTTGTTGTATTTTAATGTTTATATTTTACAGGAGTTCCTCGCAGCAAGAGAGGTGAAGTTTGGCTGTATCTAGCAGAGAGACATTGTGCTCAAATGCCTCCGTTTGACTGCTCCAAGTTCCCCAATTACAACGTCCACTACGAGGATCTACTAAAACAACTCACCTCGCAACAGCATGCGATACTTATTGACTTAGGTAAATGCATAACCACATAGAACTCAAAAGTACCTGGTAGGAAAAGTGGAATTTTAGGTTTACATTTACAACTAAATGGTGCACAAAAGGTATCATGACCTTTGAAGTATTGACCTTTCATAGTTTAAAATCACAACGATCAGAAACAGTTGTAAAAGATTGACAATGTGCTGGTGCTGTATACAGCAGTTCAAAATAGTTGTTTGATTTGTCGTCAGATGCCACTGCCTACCGGGTTTCATCATGAAGAACGGGTATTTTCAAAACAGCAGTGCCTTTTTTACGTGTGACGAGGAAGGCTCATCAAATGGTTGTGAAGGCTTATACATTGACATCGATTGTTGAGTACAGTACTAGAGTATTTAAGATACACAGACTAGGCAAAGAATGCAAGATTTTTGCATACCAAATTCACTGTATGTTATGATTTAATTAAATACGTTTTGATCAATGATAAAATTATTGCAATATGTGACAATGTTCATATATATAAACACAAATTCACACTTATTGGTAGAGCAGCACAATTTGGAATTTTAAAAGGAAAATCTATATAGGAAATACATTTTTACACTATATTCCGGGAACTTTCAAATGAGAGAAAATTATATTAAGCTTTCTTAACCATTAAAAAGGTTTTTAACTGAATCCATTCAAGGAATTTGTTTGTGAAAATCCCATGCATTCAAAACATTTATCTTTATTTATTTTTTTTTGTTATTCTATGTTAATTGTGAAACGATGTTCAATCAGTTGTGTTTATTGTATGAGAAAAATCAATGAGTCATTGTTAATTTGTTTTATATTTCAATTTGTACCTGTATCAATTTATTTGGGATATTTACAATGTGTTTAAGATAAAGTAGACTAATGTGGCATTATTTCATGTACCAAACTGCCCTTTTTGTGAGATTAAGATGATTCAGTTGACTGATTGTTTTTTGCAGGTCGCACCTTCCCCAACCACACATATTTCTCTTCACCCCTAGGACCAGGCCAGTTAGCCTTGTATAATTTACTCAAGGCTTATTCCCTCCTGGACCCTGAGGTAGGGTACTGCCAAGGCCTGTCATTCGTGGCTGGGGTGCTGCTATTACATGTGAGTACTATAATTTTTACCTGAGTATTTTAACTGAACTTTTTATTTAATAACACCCTGCAGCAGGGTTGCCACCCGTCTCGATTCTGCCGGGACAGTCCCGATTTTGGTTCCTTATGTCCGTATTTAAGCCTATGTTTATCCGGGGGGAGGGGGGCCATGTCCTGATTTTTCCCTAACCTAACAAAATGTTGTATCTACTAATTAATATTCCACAAGAATGTATGAATGTGAACGACTGACATTGATGATGGCGGAAGTAGAGTGAGGTTGATCCAGCCAGTATAATCCAGGTTGATCCAATTAATTCAAGTTGACTGGAGTAACAAAGTGTAGCCAACCATATGCACCTTTTTGTAGGTGATTATTTTTTTATGCTTAGCAAACAACTATGTATTGTTATTGTTTATTATTGTTATTGTTATTGTATTATCATCTTGATGTAGACAAATTTGTAAAATTGGTTTAACCGTGGGAAATAAATGAAATGAAATGAAACTACAATGTTCAGTGAATAACAAATTATTTTATTTATCTTTGATCGCACAGATGACTGAAGACCAAGCATTCTTCATGTTGAGACACCTGATGTTTCGGCGAGGTATGAGAGCCCAGTATCTGCCAGACATGATAGCGCTACAGGTCCAGTTGTACCAACTGTCCAGACTGATACATGATCATCAGCCGGACTTGTACGCCCAGTTGGACAAACATGAGGTTGCTCCGACGCTCTTTGCAGCTCCGTGGATGCTCACCATGTTCGCGTCACAGTTTCCCCTCGGTTTTGTGACTAGAGTGTTCGGTGAGTCAAGGCATTTATTTTCAGAGTGGAAAGTCTGTGAAAGGGTTAGAAATAAACAATTCAGTTGGAGGAAATAGCTCTTGCCTTAGGAATGCATTGATCCTTCGGGGGCGCATTGGTCCTTTTGACCAAATTATAATTTTTCTGAAAAAAAAAACAGATAATTGATGAAAATGAAGGAAAAAAGTACATGATATCTATTGGCAATTGCCTTGAGGTAAAGTCCTTTGCTTAACCACTTCTCATGCTATTATAGACTAGAGGTGGGAGTTATTTAACTAATACGAATGAAAATTATTCTGTTACTGAAGTGTCACCTATTACATTGACAATAGGTTACTGAGATCACCTATTATTTTTGTAACGTTTTAACTGTTTGAATGAGCGAGTTAAATCCAGCTGATCAGGTCTTATTATTAGCAAGCTTCCCAAAATCATCTAATGAATCACTCACCATAACTAGGTGTACAATGCAGTTGTCTGATTGCAATATTGAGCGGAGCCAGCATATTAATTCAATGTCAATGATATATTTGGTTCGCATTTTAAATAGTATGCCTATTTGCAGTAGGTATCCAAAGTCAATCATAAGTCAGGATTAAGTGAATGAATTGTCTACTTGCATGAACCATATTCTATGTTTCATCTGGTTCTCATAAATTAAATGTCTACTTGCAGTATCCAATGCCAATTATATATTTGGTTCGCATAAATGGAATGCCTATTTACAGATTCTAAAGTCAGTGGTACGTCTGGTTCACGTAGACGGATTGTTTACTTGTAGTATCCAAACTCAATGGTACATGTAAATAAATAGTCTACCTGCAGTATCCTAAATCAATGGTCCATTTATTTTGTTCACATAAAAAAACGCCTAATTGCAGTATCCGAAGTCAATGGTAGGCTTAGGCCTACTTCTGCTTCACTTTATATGGGATGTCTATGTGCAGTATTCAAAGTCAATGATACGTCGGGTCATAGACTAACGTATGTTTTATCTATGGTCGGGTTCATGTCATCAAATTATCTAATTGCAGCGAAACTATGAGTCTTATATTTGGTTCACCTTAGGAATTCCTATTTGTAGACTGCATTCCTATTTATATCCTGTATATCCTATCTATACTCTCCACGCAACCACAGAAAACATACTACTATAACCGAGTATGTTTTCTGTGACGCAACATAGGCTTAGGCCTAATTAGTTAACTATTCATTGTTGAAAAAGAACAGAACGATTATACAATTAAATATAAACGGCATGATTTTAATCACTCAATATAGAACTGATTGTTAATCAATTCGTATTACATGCAATAGACTAATATGCTATTTAGTATTCATCAGATTTTTTCTTTTGTACTGTATTTATAATGTGTTAGATTTGTTGACTAACATATGTCGAGGCTCTTGTTTACTTTTTAGTGTTAACTCGCAAATAATGCCATGGCGACCAATTAACCCATAAGGCCCATGTTAAATTTCTAAAAGTTTGCATTCATGTAGGGAAAAGTCCTATGGTCCGATTTGTACCATTTCAGATTTATACCTTCCCATGGTTGGGTACTATGACTGTGTTAAATTTCGTGCAGATCGCTTCAGCCGTTCAGGAGGAGTATTTGTAAAACAAAAGCAGGAGTGTAGTATAAGAGCTTCGCTCGCTTCACTCGCTCCGCTCAATAATTGCAGATGAAAAGAACTCTGCGTTACGACCAGCTGAAGGCTGGACAAGGAAGTAATAGTGTTATTTCAAGTGTCACCGAAAAAGCTAATGATCGTTTCTGACTATTATTGCAAAGTAACAGTGTTTCCTTCACTCGCTCCGCTCAATAATTGCAGATGAAAAGAACTCTGCGTTACGACCAGCTGAAGGCTGGACAAGGAAGTAATAGTGTTATTTCAAGTGTCACCGAAAAAGCTAATGATCGTTTCTGACTATTATTGCAAAGTAACAGTGTTTCCCATCTCTGTTGCAGACTTGTTGTTCCTGGAAGGCAAGGAAGTGTTGTTCCGTGTTGCCATGGCTCTGCTCAGTCACCACAAAGAGGGTCTTCTCAACTGTGACAACTTTGAACAGATCATGAACTACTTTAAAACCAACTTTCCTAAAATAGACAAGCCCATCATGGATAAAGTACTTAAAGAGGTGATTATTTCTGGTGTGACTGTTTCATATAGCTTGTCATTTTACTTTTGCAATTGATTATTGTGCATAGCTGAATGGTTATAGTGTAAGAAATCAGATAGACCTACTAGTTTAATTGTGAGAAAAGTCAATTGCTTTTTGATGGCTTTAAACTGGACCTCATTGTACTTGAATATTGAAGTCTAAATTATGATTCTGATTAATTAACCAAATAAGATACCATTTTACCTTGATTTTGTCTATTAAGTCCTTAACCTCCTCTAAAGGGGGGTGACGATAGTTTTGGTGACTATGTCGCCTTTGCCAGATACTTGTCAAGAATGACAAGCTTATCCCGTGTTGAGGTCATCCCTAATATAAAAAACATTTAACCTATGAGCATTAAGTCAAAACGACATAGTCATTGAAACTATTGTCATCCGCTCTTCAGTTTGAGAATCACTTGACAAAATCAAGGTAAGTTCAAGGGATTCAAGACTACACAAAATTAAGCAGCCAAAAAATCTGATCTAGTGAATAATAATCCTAGTAACAAAAGTATTTACTCCATTAGTGATCAAGATTGTTTCCAGATTAAAATGCCGTTTATCTTTGGCTATCAATTAATGACGCTGTCTAACTATAAGTTGATGTTGAAAAGTAACAATACATCAAGCTCTGTGTTTGGACTGTAAAAATATATATTTAGGTAACAAAGGCGTAAATATACACAAAGTAATAAATAATAATAAAATAGTATCAGCGTTGTTTGAATTCAAGTCCTTAATCACACCTTGTGTTTTCGACAGGTTTTCTACTCCGACATATCCAAGAAACTGTTGGAGTATGAAGTGGAGTATCATGTGCTCCAAGAGGAAGTTAATACTCCACGACCGGAGGTGAAGAGAATCAAGGAGCTGGAGGAAGCCAACAAACAACTCCACATACAGAACAGATGTTTGTCAGAGCAGCTTGAGGTAATCAATAACATAGTGACTTTATAGTAGGGATTACATTCTTGCAGGTAGCAATAATGTCAAACAAAACCAATTTGCACTGTAAAAAAAATAATAATGGGTAAAAAAAACAAAAGTATCAAAAACTGTTAGGTGAAAAATGTCATTTTTGTAAAATTAATTGTGATGCATCAATCTAATAATAAAACACTGCTAGTTAACCACAGAAAAGGCATTAAAACCAACTGTAACTATTTTGTTTAACATTCCCGCCTCAGCAAACCTGCTGACTAAGTGAAATTTGATTTTCCTGATCGGATTTCCACTGAAGTATTCCCTTAAACAGGTTAGATGTAAATCCAATTTAAATATCATTAGGTTTAGTGAGTGATGCACTCTTAAACTCACACTTTTCTTAGTTTAAAATGTTGTCAGTGACAGTGAAATATTTTAATGTCTTGTATTTCTTGTTTCTGTTAGAACTCTTTCCCATTCAGATAAGCCTGCTACTCTTACAACAATCCAAAAACCTACGTCCTTGTGCTCTATGTTACATCCTTTTACACTAATTTTCTATGTTACAGATCTCTACAAGCAATATTAACAGACTGGAGACGAGTAGATCATCACACATGATGCAGATAAATAGATTAGAGTCCCAAGTTAGAAGCTTGGAAGTGACAGTTTCCACACTGGGGGATTTTATAACCACTCTCGCCTACAACAATACAGATCTAGAAATACCTGGAGAGATCCTTCGTATTATTGCCCAGATACATGTTTCTGAGCGGAAGAGTTTACCAAACAACGTTCTCCGTCCTGGGATCCTCAATCGGAATATGCCACTTAAAACTATAGACGACAACAGAATCAGTCCGCAAAAAGATACAAAAAAGAGTCCGCGACCATTGAAATCAACTCTCAGTTCCCCCAACTTGGAGCCCAAGACATCCTTTTTCGCACATTCGTTCAACCAGATTAACCAACAGAAACTAGGAATATCTGATAAAACGTCCCCCCTTAATGGGATGAAACAGTCACGTTCGGATTCAAGCAGTGTAAAACAGCTGTTGTATAGTGAAAGTAAAGAAATTATAGGAGAAATCGAAACAGAAAAACCGAGGTTGGGTAGAGTTTTGACAGACAATGATAGGAAAGCCTTAGGATTGGTTGATTCGGATTCGTTCGTGAAAACAAATTCGATGCCTTCAACCGATGGGAAGCGAAAGATATTGAAAAGTAGTCAAAGCTCGTACGAATTGGGGAAGTCAGAATCGGTTTCTGCCGTGTCCGATTTGCTTCCGTTGAATTCTGACACGGTCAACATTTGTTTCGGCGGAACTACCAAATTGAGACAGATCCGACCGCTTAAAGTGAGAAATGAAAGTTGTAGCAGTATACCCAGTCAGTCTTCAAGCACAGGATCACTTTTTGAGGGTTGTCCTCTTCCAAACAAGAAAATAGAACTACAAATCGTCGAACCTTCAGATATCAGCTGTACAAGTCGATCCGTGTTTGAGGAAAAAGCTGACAATTCTCTCTTCAGCGAAAAACACCTGAGGCAAAATAGCTTTGAAAAATCTAGAGGGAAAGAAGCAGAAGAAATGATTAAGTCTCAAGTGCCTGCGAAACAGCCGAGTCTTCTAACTTGAATTAAGATTATTATATAGTAAGGTGCTTACCTATTCCTGTGCCAAAGTTTAGTAAGCAACTGTAGTACCTTATTAGCAATGACAAATGCTTAAGTATTATATTCTCAAAGTTAGGAATCTCATCTTCAAAAAGTCTACAATCCTTTCATATTTTCTATTATGTACTTAGTGTTTGACACTGGATTTTAAAAAAGATTATTGCAGTAAACGATGTGTTCAGTTCGTAGACATATCAGTCAATTACTAGTTGACATATTCTGACTATCATACCTTGATTTTTATTTGAACACTTGACACTTCAAAACATTGTTTCCAGACTACCATCCTGCTTACCAGGCCGAGAAAATCTTGTTTTATCCTGCTTTAAAATAATGTTAAATCCTGTTTTATCATACATGAATTTAGTAAAAAAACCGGTTCAATCCTGAGTAATCTTATTGATGTATTATTTTATTATTTTAAAATAGTTCTTTTTAGCCTTGCTATAATGAATGCATATAGGCCTATTAAAATAATTGAACCAATAAACTGGTATCTGAAAATCAATATACTTACTTACTGATAGAACGTCGCTAATCTCTGTAGATCTTTTGCCTCGTAGATTAGCCGCCTCCACTCTTCTTTATCTTTCGCCATCCAAATTTCTCCTTTGCATTGGATCACATCCTTCTTGACTTGGTTATACCATAGATAAAACATACTCCGTTATACCATCTTAATTTATAAAAACAAAATGGAGTATCAGCGCTCAAAAATGAATCTTGTTTTATTCTGCATCACATTTTATTCTCATGCAAGGCCTAAAAAAATCCTGTTTTGGGACTTAAGTCCTGCAAATACACTGCTTTAAAGTTGTCTTCCTAAGCAATAAAAATATGCATGAATTTTTATAACCTTTTGATTTTAATGACAACTAATTGTAACTTAGTGTCTGTTACTATGCTTATCAAATGCTAATTTAGTACTGTAGTTAATTAATTATGTTATTCCTCTAATACAACACCAATACATAATAAGTAGAAATATTTTTCTAATTTTAATTTATAGTATATATCCTCATTCATGATTACTCAGAACTCATCAAAATCAACTTTCATAAACTACATGTTCTTAATATAGGTTTAATATCCATTTATCAGTACTTTTTATAAACGTACATAATAGGCCTATTTTTTAGTATTATTTTGTCGAGTATTGATCATTATATAAAATACGATCCGTGGCAGCTTGATGTTACTTTTAGATGCTTTAAGCCTTAATAAATAATTTAGATTATAGATTTAGCTGTTACTACAGTATTGTGATCTTCAGTAGCTTAATGTTAGATGAGTGAACGTCAAAGCTAGTCCAGTTTTGCATGGAATTTCACCTTAGAGTTTTAAGTATTTTATCAAATAGCACTATTACACAGCTTTCAATTCCCCACTGCTAAGTACACAGCCCACTTGTCAATTATCAAGTACACTTAAAATGAGTTTTATAATGTACTACACAGATATACAATATTTTTAAATACCTATAGGCAATATTTGATATTGTTTTAAATAACTCTAAGTACTGTATTTTGACTAACGAATCCCATAATTTTGTTGTGATCATGTAGACTGAAAGTTTTAATAATTTTACAGTGGATCATTTGATGTACAAATTGACATATTTTTAGATGTAAAGTTATTATGTTATATATACAATGTGATTTATTTTTATTAAAGTGTTTATGACCAACATAATTGAGTGAAACTGTTATTGTTGATTGATAAATAGATATTGATGACATTTTTAAAAGTCTACTATTTTTTACCATACCATTACAATTACAATCCTATTATTACCAGCAGAACTGTACTCCATCTATATACTTAATACAATAAGGGGTTTCTCTGTTACATCTATTTTTCACCTGTCCAAATTAACAAATTTATACAATTGACATACTCGTTTTAATCAAGACCAGCTTTTTTCTAAAATCTTATTTTTTGTTATTCTAGGGGAGTTTTTGTGTTGAAATAACATGAGTTACAATAAATTTGGAACCCTAATTTTTAAAGCAATGGGAGTACCATTTTTTTTAGAATGTCATGGGCTAAAACATACTAAATTTTATCAAAAATCGTTTGGGCCATGTTTGAGGAAATTGGTCTGTTCTGTTAATTTATGGGTTTTTACGGGAAAGTCCCCATAAAAATCAAATTTTCAAAAAAAGTAAGAAAAAACTATTGGAGATACCTACCATAAATCTACATACCAAATCGATCTCTTCAGGCAAATCATTAATATACAGAAGGAACAACACTGGTCCGAGATTTGATCCTTGCGGGACTCCTGTGTTGATACAGTCAGAGATATTTGATTTAAAAGTCTTTATAACATTCGTCTCACTGGTGTTTCTAATATTTACAATTCGGTATCTGTTTTTAAGGAATGACATTATCCAGTTTAGGGGATTATTCCTAATACCAATTTTCATTAGTTCGGTCTTAAGTATTTCATGATCCAGGCAATCGAAGGCTTTGGTCATCTATATATATAAAATCCAATGTATGTTTGTATATTTGTATGTTTGTCCTTTATGGACTCCGAAACCGCTCTACAGATTATAATGAAACTTTTAGGCATTATTAAGCATTATTCAAGGATGGTTTGTGTGAAGTTTGGTGCAGATCCGTCAATAGGGCTCCGCCCCAGTGGCTCTGGAGTTTCCCATGTTAACCTTATGAGTACTCATATTTAAATGGAATTAAAGAATCTTAACAGCTGGTGCAGCTAAACAATTTGATTCTGTGATGTTCAATAGCATTAAAAAGTTAATAGGTTTACCAACAGGGTGCAGCACTATATATTTTTTTTAATTTATGAGAACAGCTAATTTGCAACCAAAAGGTGAGTGAGCGTAGCGAACGAACTTCAACCTGGAGGCGAGTCAGCGTAGCGAACGAGCTAACCTGAAGGCAAGTGAGCGCAGCGAACGAGCTCCAACCTAAAGGTGAGTGAGCGTAGCGAACGAACTTCAACCAGGACGTGATTGAGCCATGCGAACGAGCTCATCTTGAAAATGAACGAGCATGTGACATAAAACCACAATAGGACAAGACGACGTCTGTCGGGCCAGCTAGTGTCATATAAAAGGATGAGAGAGTCCTCCATTAAGTCAATGTTGTCATAAATTTTTGTCATTAATTTAAAAACTGAGTCTATAGTTGATCTTTCTTTCCGGAACCCATATTGATTTTTACAAAGTATGTTGTTTTCTTCTAAGAAGGGCATGAGTCTATTAAGGAAAATTATCTCAAACACCTTGGAAAAAGCAGATTGGATTGCTACTGGTCTATAGTTAGCTGCAAGTTTTTTATCATTTTTCTTATGAATAGGTATTATTTTTGATATTTTTAATTTGTCTGGAAAAGTTTCAGTTGCAAAAGATTCATTGATGATCAGTGTAAAAGGTTTGGCAATAAATTCAGCACAACTGCAAGCACCCAGTGTTTACCAAAACACCTCCAGCATGCTTCCTAGTTGGCAAGGTCACTATCTACAATTCAACCCCTAGTTTACATATATATCTATATATATAAAATCCAATGTATGTTTGTATGTTTGTATATTTGTATATTTGTATGTTTGTCCTTTATGGACTCCAAAACCGCTCGACAGATTGTAATGAAACTTTCAGGCATTATTAAACATTATTCAAGGATGGTTTGTGTGAAGTTTGGTGCAGATCCGTCAATAGGGCTCCGCCCCAGTGGCTCTGGAGTTTCCCATGTTAACCTTATGAGTACTCATATTTAAGTGGAATTAAAGAATCTTAACAGCTGGTGCAACTAAACAAGTTTATTCTGTGATGTTCAATAGCATTAAAAGGTTAATAGGTTTACCAACAGGGTGCAGCACTATATTTATTTTTAATTTATGAGAACAGCTAATTTGCAACCAAAAGGTGAGTGAGCGTAGCGAACGAACTTCAACCTGGAGGCGAGTTAGCGTAGCGAACGAGCTAACCTGAAGGCAAGTGAGCGCAGCGAACGAGCTCCAACCTAAAGGTAAGTGAGCGTAGCGAACGAACTTCAACCAGGACGTGATTGAGCCATGCGAACGAGCTCATCTTGAAAATGAACGAGCATGTGACATAAAACCACAATAGGACAGGACGACGTCTGTCGAGCCAGCTAGTACAAATATAAAACCTATTCCCTTACATCCCCCCTACCTTACGAGACGATGTCCTCAGCGTCTCCACTATCTAAATCTCTTCAAAACACCAATAAAACAAACAAAAAATTAACAATCATAGCCCTATATAGCATGTCATCAGCCAAAAAAAAATTCTATTATAATTACTCCCCCACTAATTCCCTATTGATCCTTGCCTTTGAATCCAAAAGTGTAACTTCAACATTAAACCTGTACAATTTTAGACATATATAAATCAAAAGAACCGATAAAATCCCCAACCATACAAAAATCACAACGTATTTAAATGACGTCACGTCTGTGACATCCCACCAAGTTTCTGGCAGAACTACGTCATCCAGCAACGATGGCGGAATGTCCTGGTGGACCACAAAAGACGGAGAAAAAACAGTCCAATTCGTATTTAAAATCTGAGAAAAATTTCTAAAAACCGCACTAGAATTGGACACAAACGGATACTGTGAAATTTTCCAAAGAGGTTCACGCCGCAGGCAGTACATGAATAATGAAAGGTGTTTCTGTACTCGGCAAACAAGGGTACTGCCTGGATATCAAAACCCACGGTCGCCTTTAGGCCCTGTACACATGAGGGCGGCAGCCGCCGCGGTTGCCATTGCGCGGGAACCGCGGTGGTTGAAAGTACAAAGGAGCAAATGGGTCCGTTCACATGCAACCGCTCACTTCCAGTCAACCGCAACAAACCGCGGCGGTCGTAGATTTCCCTTCGACCGCCGCGGCTCCCGTGCGGTTGAAGTTACTAGAGTTGGCATGAGAGCGTACACATGAGGGCGGTAGCCGCCGCGGTTGACTGCAGTTGCTACTATAGGATCACAGGCATCTGCGCGCTTGCCCTGTGGATATCGCTCTCTGTGTTGGTGAAAGTGTGTAGCTGTGGCTGGAGTTGATGTACAGTGCTCGTAGTGTAAGTTTACAATGGCCATGCGTGCTGCTGTGGAACCAGAAAACTTTGACACTGAACAGCTCATTAAAGAAGTACACAAAGAAGATACGTTTAGGACATAAAACTAAAAAAGATTGAGTGGCAAGAGTTTGTTGAGTTTTTTGCTAAAAAGAATTGTCAAGCGTTACGCTTTTAAAAGAAAAATAATTGGGTAAATACAGTACTGGCTGTCGAGTGACGGTCAATTCACACCGCAACCGCAGCGTAACCGCGGCTCCAACCGCTGTCATGTGTACGGTCCTAGGCGGCCACCGCGGCGGCTGCCGCCCTCATGTGTACAGGGCCTTAACTCCAGGCCGCGGCCTTCGAACTGGCAACGTCGCAAGTGGTGTTGTAACAGCTGATTTTTTAGGAAGCAACTAATGGTATTTTTGTATTTACGAAAGATTGATTACTGGACTATGACAATATTGACTCCGCTTAAAAATGTTCAGACTGATTGTTATTGATGTTAATTTTTCACACTTATTGTTATTGTAGTTAATTATTTACACTGTTTTTTGTTATTGTCATTGATGTTTATTATTCACACTTTGTCTTGTTATTGTTATTGATGTTAATTATTTACACTGTTTCTTGTTATTGTTATTGATGTTATTTATTTACACTGTTTCTTGTTATTGTTACTTTTTTTCACAATGTTGTAACTGTTGCAATTTCACTCAAACTGTCCACCACCACCAAAATTCTTACTCATTTATTGATGTTTTCTATTGTATTATATCTTGTTGCATGTAAATCTTGTCTAATGATTGTTTTGTAAAATGGCGATTGCCGTCGAAATGAATAAATAAATAAATAAATAGATATAGATTTTAATTCATATTGTTTCAATTTTCAATTCTGTATGCTTTATTTTCAATATTTTAATAAATTTATGTTCATAAATTAAAAATTAAATCAATAAAGTGCGAATTAATGAGCTGATGTCACCTGTCTGCCATGTTATCTTATGGGACGTCTGTCATTGAACAACACCACTTGCGATGTTGCCAATTCTACCAGGCCGCGGCCTGTAGTTAAAGGCGGCCGTGTCAAAACCACGCCCCCTCAAAAAATATATAAAAATATATCAAAACGATAATGATCTTTACATTATACGATTCTCTACTCTGTGCTTGTAACTGGCACAAACTTTTTTCATTTATACTCCTTTCACCTCGTGCTTCAAGTTGTGTTCTTCTTCTTCTTCCTGTCTTCTGCATTTGCATTTTGTCGTGGGAGTCGAGTCTAGTGAAACTTTTTGTGACTAAATTCTGAATTACTATTACATTTACAAGCATTTATTTGCATTTAAATAGTTCCTTATTTTATTAAAAAGATGTCTCCCGCAGCAACAATGGGTGGACGAGCTCAAGGACCCGGTGTCTATAGAGACAAAAGTAAACCGACTGACATTCGATCAAGTAACATAACCGCTGCAAAAGGTAAGTTAGGCCTACTTTACTTTACTCATATTTTAATGTTTAATGTTTGTTAACAAAAATGTTCACCATCATAACGATCCTGCTCAACTAAAAAGTCAGAACTAATTTAGGCCTAGGCCTATGCTAAGTTTGGTTTGTTTTAAACCTTCATTGTGAAAACGTAGGCCTACCGAAAACTTCTAGGTAGGGTATAAAGTTGTAGCCACAAATGTAGGTATTCGTGGGTGTAGTCTACTTCCAAATCTTTCGAGGAATGGAGAGGTTGGACGCTGTATTTATGTAGGCTACAGTACTTAAATGCTCATGTGGTGGACAAAGACACTGTGCCTTGTGCGATAGGAAATTCTGCGCAGTGCTTAAAGCCTCTCGGGATCTTCCTTGCTCGTCACAGGTCTAGGTATTTCCGGCTTAAGTATTTCCGCCTCAATACTGACCGTTGAAAGCGCACGGTTATCCCACAAGCAAGGTTCCTAGGCCTACTTTATGTTTGGCTATGCCTAGGCTACTTCTTCTCTGTTGTCAAAGAAGATTTTTTGTTCGTTAAGGGTACTTTTCTGTAGGCCTAAATGAAACATTCATTATTATCGAAGATTTTATTTTTTGATGCGATGTAGCTTAGGCCTAGGCACATCGATATTAACCCTAGCAGTGGCCAACCGTCGTCTGGTGACGGTTTGACGTTGATGCTTAGAATGGCCAGCCGTCGTCTAGTGACGGTATGGGCCGAAATTATTTTAACGGTAAAAAAAACACTTTTAATCAACTCAGTTGAGAATGTTTATTAATGAATTTCCCATAAAAAATCCGTAGAAAAAAAATACCAAGGCCGCTTTTAAAATTTACCAACAAAAAAAATTATTTTTTCATTTTTTTCACTTTACCGAAAAAATACACTAAAATCATTATTATATTACTATTTCTAGATTCTCCTGTTCTTTCCAAACAAAATGAATATGAGGTTGGCTAGGTTTACTTGGACGGTTGAACTTTTACGAATTTTCAAAAAAAGGTCTGTAAAATCGCCCAAATGGGTTGGCCATTCCCGATTTCTAACATTGGCCACTGCTAGGGTTAGGTAAGTTTAATAAATTAAAACTTATTAGCTGACAACTGCGATAAATAACTTAAGTTATTGTTCAGTATCAACAAACAAACAAAAATTATATAGGCCTATAAATGAAATTAACTTAACTTATAACTTACCAAATTAACCTAACATGACTACGGTAGCCTACCTAACCAAACTTGCTGTCACATTTAAAGATTCCTTTTTGATATTCTCCACTTGCCTTTTCTGTTATCAAGGGAATTTTGAAAAAACAAGTTTTGTTAGCCTAAAGTTATTTTAGGTTAGCTTAGAAAAGTTTTAATTTCTTAATCCCTACACACACATAAGTTAGGCTATATAACTTAGGATATAGGCCTAACAGCAAAAAATTAAATGCAGCCAAAACTCAGGTCCTTGCTCTGCACCCTGAAGCTACTAACTGAAAGGGATGAGATGGCTAAACTTCTAGGGTTCTGATTGGATCCCAAACTGAGCTGGAGCTCACACATTGATAGGGTAAACCCTAACATACAATTTACTCATACAACATATAATAGGGTCAACCGGGGCTAATATGAACACACCAAAATATTGGGGCTAATATGAACAATGACTTAAAAAGTAATTTATCTGGGATTTTTAATCATGAAAAAAATATAATTAGAAAGGAAATTTATTGTATTTTTTGTGTCCATAATGAGAAAACTTCAAATTTGACTTTTAGGTACTTTAAAAAAATACTTTGTTAAAACACTTTTTTTCCGCCCAAAAAACTTTTCCGCGCAAAGTGAAAACTTTTGTTATAACAATTTTTACATTGGTTGTAGGAATAATCTTAAGCCTGAATTTTGTTAAATAAGAATTGGGGATTATTTTTCTTTTCCCAAAGTTAAAATATATTACTAACAGCCAAAGTTATAAGCTTTCAAAGTTGGGGGGCTATTGTGAACAGTGACATGGGGCTATTATGAACAACAATATATACAGTATATATTGTACTATATATACAAGCTCAGGCTGACGGGGAGATCGAAGTGATGGGATTTAAATCCTGTGATGAGGAAAAAAAAATCATTCCTGAAAAAAGAAGATGATATATTTATTGTTTCTACCACTGACATTTTGGGGAAACTTCCAGCCCCTAATGTATGTGGAACCAGTGATAGACATAAGTATGTCTTCGACAAAATTGTCGAAGTTTTTGAGGCGTAAGTTCCTCAATAAACTTCTTTGAAGGCCTTACAGTGATAAAACAGTTTTAATTTTACGAAGACAACAGTTAAGGTGTTGAATAGGCCTAGCCCACATTTTTATATTTACCTAATAGGCCTAAAAGTGCAATAAACTGTCATTTGCCTAAACAAACAATTTGCATTGTCTTAAATTATTGTTTTTTAAGTGCTTTTAAAAAAACAATTTGTACCGTATGTGGAAGAAATTTTTTATAAATACTCAGGTATGTTGACAGATAATTTTTTTCTTGTTTATATCTTATTATAAGCCCTGTATAATATTTATAAATGGTTTAAAAAAAAAGGGTTACCGTAGGGCGACCCGCGGCTCTCCAAAGATACCTTCATATCTCAAAAACTATTTAAGATAAAATATTGAGACTTATTGCAACTGGTAGACTAGACCCTAGGCTTGTTCACAACAGCCCCCACATATGCCTAGTGTTGTAAATAACTGAGTTATTAAGAGTGTTCACATTAGCCCCATGGGCCGTTCACATTAGCCCCTTTTAGCGGGGCTAATGTGAACAGTGGTTTATAATTTTTTTTAAATAATGGTTACATTTATGGTTTTTGTTAGTAAATAAATAGATTCAGCTAAAAGAGCTGTATACACTACTATTTTTTCTTTTCTTCTGTCATTTACCATTTTTGAGTTAATGTCAAAAGTATAGGCCTACTTTTTTTGTTCATATTAGCCCCGGTTGACCCTACTAACATACAGCGCACGGCTACCTATGTAGGGTGATTTGCCTTCTAAGGAAACTTCCAAACGTCATTCCGAAGCAATTCTTGATAGGTACCTGTGTAGGCCTACCATGCTCTATTTCATAGCCATCTTATGTACGGCTTGGTACTTTGGGGTCATTCACCAGCAGTACAGGACATATTATTGCTCCAGAAAAAAGCTGTAAGAATCATAATGTCAGCCGACTACAACGAACATTGTAGGCCCCTTTTTAAAGACCTGGGCATTCTTACAGTCTTTAGTCAATACATATTGAACATTCTAATACTTTTGAAAGAGAATGACCATCTGTTCAACCGAAGATAAGTTCATCACCGCTATGATACTTTGCAAGCATTATACCTTGACATGCCGCGATGTTGTCTCACCCGCACCCTCAAGAGCTATCCCTGCTATGCCATAAGACTTTTTAACACCTTGCCGGATAAGGTGTGGGATATGAACATCACCTCTTTCAAAGCGGCAATCAGAAACAGCTTAGTAAATAGGCCACTATATTCGCTGGAGGAGCTGAGTGAAGAGCCCCTATAAGTTCCTTAGAATAGAACCCATTCCCTAAAAATGTGTTAGGGCCTACTCGTTTTATTTACCGCCACAGCCTTCTTAAGTTTTGTATGTATTTTAATAGTAGGTAGTGGTATATATTTTAAATGTATATGTAGGCCCTACATTAACGCAGTCTATCTGACATTGTCCGTCAACGACGTAGCTCACAAGTAGTAATGTATTAAGTAAGTACCGGTATATAGGTAGGTACCGTATATTATTTTAGCCTAAACAAGATCAGTTTGTCAATTTGAATTTAAATACGTTTGAAGATAAAATTAGAACAGAAGAAATATAAATCGTTAACGAAAACAAGAATATCTATAGGCCTATATGGAAAAAAAAATCATTGAAAATAGCCTAATAAGTGTCCCTTTGTTTAACAGGAAAGTACCGTTCATTGAAATGTTAGCCTCCGAATTGCCAAATAATAATTTAAAAGGTTTTAAATAGGTACCCTTCTATTAGGCAATCCAATCAATTGCAGTCACAACTAGTTTCGGATCCTATTTGGATCCATCATCAGGCGGTATTTTTAAGGACATCCTTGCTTCATATGAAGAGGAACACAACAACATAACGCATGTGCTTAATACATTTAGGATTAGGTAACACATAAATAAGTAAATATTTATACGACACGATACAAAACACAAAAAAAATTATGTTAACTGATCAGCTTTAACAGACAATGCTAACCCGACGGTGTTTGAGTCCAGACCGCGGGTGGTCAGTGCAGTTGTTGTACCTCCGTTATCTTATCTATCACCAAAGATTGCCGTACGTCATGTCTATTACCGTACACTTCTCCTCTACAGTATTTTGATGGCTGTGTCATACATAAAATTCAATGAGAACAAGAGTTGATAATTTAACACATTTTGGTGGTCGGATTTAACAGCTTTGTACTGTTTAATGTAAGTTATATCTCAAATTCTTCCAAGTTGTTTAATTTAAATCTGTCACTAGAAAAATTTAAAATAGGCTATTCATATTGCTTAGTAAGTTATATTTGTGACCCAGGGAAATCATATCCTCAGTAAAAGCTGATGTTTGGTGGGCTTTTGACACTTTTGGAAGATGTTCCTTGAATTGTTTTGTAAAGGAACCATTTGTCCGTTTGTCTTGTATATGCCGGATTTGTCAAAAGATTGTGTCATCGTAGGGTTGCGCTCCTTTAACGATGAATCTAGTTTATTTCCTGTTTTGAATGATACTTTGCTAATTCTATTGTTTTTTGCCATTCGAGTTTTATATTTATTGCTCATGTAATTGCCATATTTAGCAGAGACGAATGTGTTTGGTTTTTTGGTTGCGGGTTTGTTTTATGTTCAGAAATGATTTTGTCAATTAAAATGCTTGGATAACCATTTGCTGTAGGCTGTAGCTATATATTTTATTGTATAGGCTTATGGATTTACTTCTTCGCTGTAATATGTTTTGTACATTGGTACTGTAGTAATCTTGGAAAAACTGGTGTAGGTGGCTATTTATTTTTAATGCGGATGATGGGATTTGGATGTATGGTCCCAAGAATCTTTTGGATTTATCCCATAAGTTAGTCTAATAAGTTAGCCTAGGTACCTATAGATGGTACTCAAAGCCCTGGAATATTACTTGTGCCTTTAAGGGGTATAGGCCTAAACAGCATTTTTAAAGCAGATTAATATCTATTTCAGCGGTTGCTGATGCCATCAGGACTAGCTTGGGACCAAGAGGAATGGACAAAATGGTAACTTACTACGTTTAGTTGTTTTAGGACTAAGTTTAGTCTGATGTTCTAATTAACCTAGAACTCTATTTAACTACTTCAGTATCTACAAACTAAAGACCAATAATTATTTAGTATAGCCTATTCATATTCGATGATTATTGTACCAAATTTAACACTGTAACTTTAAGTTAGGCCTACTAAACTTAGTTTATTATTAAAAGATCCTCCAAGCATTGGATCCATACGGTATTTAGATCTCTATATCCATCTATCTAATTGCACATCTACAACTACTTTGCCTTGATTTTATTTTATTCTCTTGGTCTTAAGACTACATTGATACCCAAGACTAAAAACTTAACACATTCGATGCGGCGGGTCCACCGGTGGACCCCGCGCGTCTCAGCTGAGGAGCGGGGGGTCCACGGGTGGGGGAGCGCGCCATGTCATGTTTATTGTTTCAATGTGAGCTCAGCCATTGTCGGGGAACGTTGTAATCTTTACCAGCCTGTAGCTTATAATGCGAGCTTTATTCTGGTGTAGGTTGGTACAAAAATTGCCCGTAAAATCCCGTCTGGCAATGCTTTTGTCCCGTTTTCGGGGATTTTCTCAGTTCGAGCCGTATTACAAAGACTCTGGTTATTGATCCAGGCAGTGCTGCTACCTTTGGGTGTTTCAGTGAACTACGTCCACTTTCGGAGTAACGCAGAACAATCACCACTGCTCTTTTGTGATTCGTCTTACTGAGATATTTCAATACCAATAGCGATCGCTGATTCAGTTAGCGCGTCGGGGCTCCGCCCGGGCCTCGCCGCAATTGGCGAGCGCCTGTTTAAAGGTTTCAGCAGCGAATGTGTTAATAAATACTTAAGACTAAAATGATCTGTGAAGCAAACCATGTATCCTACTTAGACCTCATATTTTTTTCAGATCCAAGCTGCCAATGGGGAAGTAACCATTACCAATGATGGAGCCACAATTCTAAAACAAATGAATGTAATTCATCCAGCAGCAAAAATGGTAGGCCTATTAAAAATAGTTTTATTACCTATTTTAGGCGATTAATCACTGTCTACAACGTCCTTCAATGGATTACTGTAGTTAGGCTACCAAAAGTAGACCTACTCATTCAAAAAAAAAAAATAGGGCTAGGCCTAGCTAACAGTGCCATAGTATCTTGAGTTCATGCCATTGACTTGTCTTAGTAAATTACGGTAGAACCCTTGATATCCAGTCTTGGTTTAGTCGGTATTGTTTGGTATAGGGCTACCTAGTATATTTTTTACACTACGCGGCACAATCGAACAGTTGCATTGCGCGGTATGTAAATTTGACCGACCTCGTCGCCATTTGTTGTGTTCGTGGGTTGAATTGGACTTAGGAAGTGAACTGATAAATAAATACGATAGTTTTACATGTTTAAAACACGGCTACAAACGGGTGGTTAAGGTTTGAATTCTGGAGGTAGACTGTCTGTTGTAGGGACGGACGGACATGGACGGTGGTGTGATGTAGGTGGAGAGGGGATCAGGTGATGTTTGTAGCCAATGAGATTTATTGAAAATCATACGATCACAGTGGCGTGATGTGCAAGGAAATCATAGCTACAACGGATATTAATATTCTTAAGATATATTACACTTTCGGTAGAAGCTAAAGTACAGTGTAATTGTTTTGTTTTTACTGACTAGAATGTTTAGCAGAAATGTACTTTTTAAGGCATAATACGTTAATCTCTAAAGCCAATTTATCGTACCGTTCTGGTAATTTTAATCTCCTTTATTGGATATGTTATCTCAATTCATAATATTTTCATGTTAATTACTAAACCACCTTTACCTAAATATAAATACATTTTTTTGTTCCACAAACACATATTGTTCTAATATAATAATCACAAATTAATGTTTTCAATTCAAATATTAATCACATTTTATTATTTGGTGTAAATAATAATTGTTTTATAATAGGTTGGTTTATCTGGACACGTTGTTGTCCAACCTTGATCTCGTGGTGGTTCGATTTTTGATTTCAATGAAATTAAAACCTGGGAGTTGTGTATATTTTTATAAAATACAGGATGTTTTTGTTTTAACATTTTGTCTGTAAATGGGGATACCGTATACACATACATAAAAGATCAAACTAACACCAATGTTCAAATTGCAGATATTTATGATGACTTTTACTGTTTCATTTGTCTTCATGGACTCCCTCCTCATCACTGAATCACATGTTTCAGTTGGTAGAGTTGTCCAAGGCACAGGATATCGAGGCCGGTGATGGGACAACTAGTGTTGTGATCGTGGCTGGAGCGCTACTGGAGGCCGCAGAGAAGCTGCTCCAGAAGGGCATCCACCCGACCACCATCTCGGACGCGTTCCAACGCGCAGCCGCCAAGGCTGTGGAGATACTCACACAGATGGCCATGCCTGTACAGCTGGTGGACAAAGAGAGTTTGGTGAAAAGCGCCTCAACCAGTCTCAACTCCAAGGTAACTAGTTTGAATGATTTATTGTGGTATGGTGACAATCGTTTTAGGTGTCATTAAATTTATCTAAACTTATAAAATGGCTGATGCAGCCAGACCAATATGGTTCTGGAAACAAAAACGCTAAAAAACTACAGCAGAATCGTGATTAACCGACAAAACCAGCTACTTTCCACTCACAATAAACACAAGCCAGCTGGATTTTCCTAGGATTCAAGACTTCCACAACCACCATAGGCCATAGAGGAGATAGAGACTAGAGGAGACAGAGACTACAGGCTTCCCATCTGCCATACCATAAAATTCAGTATTGAAACCATTGTAGGTTATTCCCTTCCACAGCACATGAAAAACCAATCAAAGCTAAAAGAAACTTTGGGACTGGCTTGTAATTTTTAAAAGTTCATTTTAATAAAAACTTTGATTTATGTAAACAGTTTTGTATTTGGTTATATTTTTTAGGTGGTGTCTCAACAATCGTCTCTACTGGCTCCGATTGCAGTCGATGCCGTACTCAAGGTTATTGACCCAGCTCATGACACCAATGTTGATTTAAAGGTAATAGCTAGTGTCCATATACTACTGTTTCACTTTGATTCAATTTTTGTTTAATCAGTTGGTAAACAATCGAGTAAATAATTAGTGCAGTTAACTTAGTTAGTAAATGCACTTTTATTTCTTGTAGGACATCAAGATCATCAAAACCCTCGGAGGTACTGTGGAGGATACAGAACTGATCGAAGGTCTGGTGTTCACTCAGAGATCTGCCAATGTCAACGGACCCAAGAGAATAGAGAAGGCCAAGATTGGACTCATCCAGTTTTGTATTTCACCACCGAAAACTGATGTAAGTGTGACAATATAATAGATGTGAATTAAAACTTGGTTTTATGTTTGTCAGCCTGTTGTATTTGAAGCAAAAATGTTTGAAAAAACTAAACATAATATTGGGTCCTATGAGGAGAGCATATAATTGTTTTTGTCAAAATCTTTGAGCTTGAGTTATGGGTGGAAATTTCCTTAAGCGTCCCCCAAAAAAGGTGTGTCTGTGTGCAGTTTTTTGACGTTTGAACCATTTTTTAAAATCTCCTTAACTTACTATAGAGTGAACATAGTATTGTTTTTGTAAAAATTTTTGAGCTTGAGTTTTTGGTGGAAATATCCCTTTTAGGTCCCCCATAAAGTTTCTGTGTGCAGTTTTTTGCTGTTGGAACCATTTGCTAAAATACCGAATAATGAAATGAAATTCAATTAGATTTAGCCTTATTTTGCCTTACTTTACAACTAAAAGTTGTGATATTTCAGATACTTGTTATTTGATCGTATTGAACTTGGTGTTGTTTGATAAGAAACTTTTAATAAAATCAGCCATTTTTGGTAGCTAATTGAAGTTATAAAATTTAAAATGGCCTCCATTTGGATTTTCAAATTGGACCAAGTTATTTTTTTCCAGGTCATAAATTGAACCTTCTAACAGACTCCTCTGGTTAACTTAATTTTTCAAGCGAAAAGAAATACCCCGTGAAGCCCAAAATGAGGACCCTCTAGGCCGCGGCCACCTGCAAACGCTGTGTCCGCTATAAGTGAACTACACCTCTGCAAAACTCACCACCTACCGTATCCAAAAATTAGTGATGATACTAAACAATAATTTGACTGTCGTTGCAGATGGACCACAATGTGATTGTGTCAGACTATGCAGCCATGGACCGAGTACTCAAGGAGGAACGACAGTACATCCTAAACATTGTCAAGCAGATCAAGAAGTCCGGCTGTAACGTGTTGTTGGTACAGAAGTCTATACTGCGAGATGCCGTGAGTGATCTGGCCATTCACTTCCTGGACAAGATCAAGGTGATGGTGATAAAAGATGTGGAGCGCGAGGACATCGAGTTTGTCTGCAAGGTAGGGTTCTTGTTGATTTTAACTTTTGATTTGAAAGTTGTACAAAGTAAAGTAACTTATAATTGTTAAGTAGGTTGAAATTTCTGGAAGATAAGACTTTTTGGACGTTTTTGATGATAGCAGGCTTACCTAAATGGGAAAGAGTCCAAAATCGTACAAGGAAAACTAACTTTACACTAACACATAAAACATAGGAAATGTTTTTCTGTCACTGGATAGTATCTTCATTTAAAGATGGTATTAGTTGAAGTGTAAGGTGTTGTTTAAGTCATACCTTCCTTAGTTGAAAATACTGACAGTGACAGTGAAATATTCTAATGTTTTTGTGAAGTGTAGGTAAAATTTGTGTTTCTTGGGCTAGTTTGAACTCATTCCCATTCAAGTAAACCTGCTATCGTCACAAAAATCCTAAAAACTTAGGCACTTGTGATCTATGTTACATCATTAAAATCAAATTGGGAGTTTTAGATTTGATTTTTTGTGACCCCGACATACTATGGCACATATTTTAACGCAAAAATGAGTAAAGGAATGTTGAATGAATAAGGTGACAGCTCTGTTGTTGCCTAAGTTCAGGTGATTCTTTAGCTTGGTGGTTAAGGCCGGGTCTAGTTTTCAACCATTGAACAGATTTTGACTTCTCTCTGGATTGAACCAGTGACCTTCTGCTATAGACTGCGAGTTTATCCACTTAGCTACCAGCTCTGTTGTGAGGTTTTCATAGTTTTTGGTTGTGTTTTTCACTTTTTAGTGTGTACAGTGAAAAGTTCAAACTAACCTTCCATTTTTATGTAGGCCTATTTTTAACCCTTTGAGGTCCTTTTTTTCATTTTTCGGCGAGTATAGGTTGCCATTCGAGCAGTTGGGACTTCGAGGAGCAGCGACCTATACTCAGCATTCGACCACAAAGATAAACATTTTGATTTTTTTTGCGAGTATAGGTCGCCATTTTTGAGCAGTCGGGAAGATGGCGGGCAGTGACCTATACTCACCATTTGACTGCAATGGGTATAATTAGCCTAACTGAAACATTTAAAGATTAAGATTAAATATTTTCCAGACATTGAACTGCCGTCCTATTGCCAGTCTTGACCATTTTGTTGCTGAAAACCTGGTGTCAGCTGATTGTGTTGAGGAAATGCCATCTGGCACTACAAGGTAAGACTAAACGAGAACATTGTAAACTTCAGTCTTGTAGTACTAAGTAACATCTGTGATTGCAGAGTGTTCAGGGCCGGATTTCCCAATAGGCCCGGGCCTATGGGCGCAAGGTCCCAGAGGGCGCACGGCCGAGAGTAAATTTTTTGTATACCTAGGTTATCTAAAAATAAAAATAAATAGTCATAGTTGATAAAAAAAACTCCAAAGCATTGTGATTCTGAAGTTCATAAGAAGAAATCATTGTCAGGAAATTTAAACTATTTTTCAGAATTTCGCATAAATTTCGTTACAAAATTGGTAACAAACATTGGTTAAACGGGAGTATGCTGTAGGGATGTTGACATTGACGAGCGCCCAAGGGGTACTCATTGCAGTACGACCATAGATTAAATATAACTCAAGTCGACTTCTAATGACGTTGATAATTTTTTCATGTCTAGTTCATGTTGGTGACACTGGACGTAATTTTGGTTCTATATTTTTAGGGTTAGTTCTATGATGTGTGTTTTAATTTTTTGTAATATAAACAGGAGACAACTTATTGTTGATGATTAGATCGTTTTTATTTTTGATAAAATATTTTTAAATATGGATTAAACATACTCCTTAAATAACAAGAATTGTTTTTTAGCTAATCCAAAATGATGATAAATCTACTAAAGGAGTATGTTTAATCTATGGTATCACGTACTGTATGAAGTTGGTTCATGTTATTGGCCCTGGAATTGAAATCAATGGCCATGTTTTTTGCAGGAATGCTCGGTGGGTTGAGTTGTATTGTTTCAGTCCCACGGCCACAACTGTGAGCATTCATTAAAAGCATAAAATTGCTAAAAGTGTTTAAGACGGCATTTTGTTAAGACTAAACAAGTCAATTCTTAAAAAAAACTTGCAATGATTCCAACAAGGAGTGGTATTCAAGCAATTAACTTAGGCCTATGGGCATGATATAGTTTTTAATAAGGGTTTGAAGGAAAGTAACAGTGACCAGACTAGGGGGCGGAAAATTATTTGGGCCTAGGGGCGCAAAAATGCTAAATCCGGCGCTGAGAGTGTTGCATGTTTCACTTTGTAATTTGCAGATCCTTACAGCTGGTAATTTAACCATTTTTCCTTACCTTAGGGTACATGGTACCACTTGGATGTTAACCACGTCATGTTAGTAAGACTCATTCATAAAAAATAAACCGTACTACATGTTTTTCATTATTTTATTTTGTCAACTTTTTGGAAGGAAAAAAGCTTTAGATTCCAACAAGAATGGAGTTGATACACAATTAAATCTCTTAATAAAAGAGTCTTAATCAGTTAATGGCACATGGTTCTCAAGTAAGTAAAAGTACTTCCTTCTAAAGAAGCCCCCTTGAAGGGTTAAAAATATCAAATTAATTGTTCGAACTGTTCAACTGCTTTCAACTGCCTGATACTCTTTTCTTAGTGGTGTATTTTTTTAGTGATGATAGTCAAAACCAGGACTTTTGAATCTCAAAACCTAAGCGCAAAACCTTTTTTAACTTTTCTCGGTAGTTAAGGTAAAAAAACATAAGTAATAATAAAACACCTACTTGTACTTGGTAATCAGAGACAAAAAGAAATTGGGACTTCTGACCCAGATATAATAACATGAGTATGTGACTAAACACATTGGATCCTACTTTATTTTCTTATGGAATTTCAACACAACTTTCCAAAAGTAGGCCTACTTACAAATAGTATTGAGAATCAAATAATGTGAATGAAAATTCATCTTTACAATTTGTAAAGAATAAACTAAATCTTGGAAGTGTAATTTGTTTTCTTGAAACTTTTCATACATATTTGTGGTTTTGAGATTTGGGATTCAGTTATAAACATCACTAGGCCCCCCAGGGCTTTTAATTCTTTGAACTTTTGATTTTTAATGGTGATTGATTTTTTCATAAAAACCCACAAAGAACAGAAAAACTGCTTTTCCGATTTTGATTCAATATAATATTTTATAGACGATTTACCTCTCAATAAAATGGTACAACCCCCATTGCTGTACAAACTAGGGTTCAACAGTTATTGCAACTTTAGTGATTTTACCCATAACACACCTAGTCTTACCACTCCCTCTGCTTAGCATGATAAGGGTTGTTAATAAGCCAATGGGAGAAGGTATGTTTCTGAATGCTAACAATGTTTATTTCATGATGTTTGTAGGTTTGTCAAAGTCACTGGTATCCACAACCCTGGCAGGACAGTGACTATTGTGGTGAGGGGCAGCAACAAACTGGTGTTGGAGGAGGCAGACAGATCCATCCATGACGCTCTGTGTGTTATCAGATGTCTCGTTAAACAAAGGTAACTAATAAATCAATTTTAAATTTTAGAAAAAAGAGGATAGCAGCTAGCTTACCTTGAAAGTGTGGGTAGGCCATAGAACAAGTAGAAGTCTCCTGGCCTAGAGCCTTTCCTTAAACAAAACTAATAAATCAATTTGCTACTCTGATTGTGAGTCCTGGAATAGTGTGAGACTTTGGTCACCGAGGTCTCGGGTTCAAATCCTGCCAATCACCATTTATTTTGTATAAGTGATAATGGTGTATCCCTCTAAGCCTAGCCTGAAGGAACGTGTAGAACGATTCCAGCTTTAGAGCCTAGGTTGGGTGGGACAGTAAAAATGATTCTTTTAAATATTTAGGAAATAGATCTCGTTCTAGAAGGCCTTTATGATCAATATGAACTTTCTGCTTATTCTGGATATTAAAGCTTTTAACAGATGTTTATAGAATAAAATTAGTTTCTTATTGTATTATTATTACTTGTTCTATTTCTTGATAAACTGTGTTTTTTCTTGGTGGTTTTCCTGATACATGTTCTTCTATCTATTATTCTTTGTAATTTATTTTCTCTCTTTTAAAAGAGGTGGGCGTTATTTAACATAATTGGACAAATAATACTATTACTCAAGTGTCAACTATGAACTCGATTATAGATTATGCGTAATAAAAATACACTTTGAATGAGTGGATGAAATAATGCTGATTACATCTCTCTATTAACAAGGAGCATCACAAAATAAATAATATAGTATGTCTAACTTGTTAATAGATTTTTGAGGATACAATGTTATTTTTGTAACGTTGTCTGAACTGTTACAACGAGCAGTGAAACTACTCTGATTGGGTCTTCCTATTAACTGCAACCGGCTAAAAGTATTGTACAAGGAAGTAATAGGTGACAAACAATAGCATTATTATTTATGAAAGTGGTTTAAATACCTTATTCATGCAATCCAATTGTTGTCTCCACAACTAGTTTCAACCTGCTAGGAGGTCATCATCAGGTGAGTACAAGGATGAATTACTTCATATGAAGGTCGTCAGTAACAGTTTTTTTACATTTACACAAACACACGACGAATAATAAACACATAGTGCGCACACATATACGGCCGATAAAAACATCGAACTTGACAAGCGGACCCGTGTTGAGAATGCGGAAGTTGCGTCTAGACTGTAGGGTAAACAGCTGGTCAAGCATCACGCGCATTTTCTTATCGCTCGTCAGTTCCATTCCCATTGTCTCTGCCCTCCCCTTATTATTATTTAACCTATTAACGAAAATCCAAGGAACTTCCTTGCACAACTATTATTGCAAAGCAATGAACAGGAGCTTTACTCTCTAATATTATTGTGTCTTAGGCCTATTTTTTATTAATGATTTTGTTTTATGTTCCAGAGCTTTGATCGCCGGAGGTGGAGCTCCAGAAATTGAGTTATGTCTCAAACTAGCAGACTTTGCTCAGACTGTCACTGGAGTTGATGCCTACTGTTACAGGTAATTGTCAGCATTTCTTTTCGCACAGTTTAATAATGAAAAATAGTATGGGAAAGCAAATGGGAAGTGGTTTTTGCTAATTTCAAAATATTAGCTTCAACTCTTAAATATTGAGTAAGTTTGGTGTCAGGCTTCAAATGATCCTCTTATTAATGAATGGAAGTAGTTATGAACAAGTTTAAAAAGTAAAGGCCGGTCTTCCGAACTGCCGATTTCGGTAGCCTAATACGGCCACCAACTCACCACCAACTCCAACACACAATGGTAAGGTATAGGCTTTTCCTAAGTGCCAAATTTTGCATGGACTGTATCTCGCAGCGGGCTGCAAGACAAGCGACTGCTCCGAAAACATTAATTTAGTGTGCAAACAAATTTTCTTCTTTTCTTGTCATTTAGCAATGTCATAGTAGGCCTAAACTGAATGATGTCTGAGGATTAAAACAATTAACCTAAAACTAGCCGGGACATAAATTTGTGTGGATGCACATTCAAGTTTCACAATCGCCAAAAAAAGGTAAACAGTGGACACTGGACTACTAAAAACTGTCACATAAAACAGCTTCCTGAATATCGCAGTTCTATAAAAATGCCCATGCTGAAAAACACAGAGACTAAAAAACTCACACAACATTCAAAATCCCACAGCCAAAAATCTGCCTTTACGTTATGATAGTACCCGCCATCAGTTCATAAACATTCTTTCTTAACATTATCCATAGTTAGATTAGTTCAAGAACTGTTAATAAAATTTGGAATGTTTTCAGAGCGTTTGCGTCGGCTCTGGAAGTGATCCCTATGACTCTAGCAGAGAATGCTGGTCTCAACCCGATATCCACTGTTACTGAGCTGAGGAACAGACATGCCAAGGGGGAGGCCACCGCAGGGATAAACGTCAGGAAGGTTAGTATATTCACTAGTCAATGACGTTCAGTATAGACATGTGAAATTACCATTTGGTGGTTTTACTGTGAATTTGTCCTGGAATCTCCTTCAAATATCATAATCATTTTCATTATGAGATGAGGAGAAAACCTAGGTGTGTATTTTAACCCAAATATGAGTGAAGGATTTAGAAGGTTTCTGACTGTTCCATCAGTCATAATCCCTACACTCATCTCCATTCATACTTAGCTTAAAATTATCATAGCTTTTAAAGCCTAATGATCAGGAACAGCTGGGTCCAGTTTCGAACCATGAAAAAGCTAATGACTTTTCTCAGGATCGAACCGTTAACCTTTTGATTGTTAGGCGAGCACTTCAGCCACTCTACCCAGCCAGTCTGATACAGTAGTAATAACAACTTAGACTTATATACTTAAGATAAAACACAACAAAAATACTTTAAGGTTAGGTGTAATGTAGAATAGACACAGTGATGAAGTCAATATGTCCTAGTCTTAAAAATCACAAAGGGTTGAATAGTAATTTTCAATTATTTGTAATTTGGTATACATACTCGCCTCATTCACAATTACAATGTAGTTCTGGCAATGTATGTCGGTGCACCTTTATGATACTAGTAAGTGTTCCTATTGTATTGGTTTTAGCCAAGTTTCAAGCCATGTTTTTTGCAGGGTTGTATCACCAACATCCTGGAGGAGAACGTAGTCCAGCCTCTACTAGTGTCTACCTCTGCCATCACTCTGTCGTCCGAGACAGTTCGCAGCATTCTCAAGATTGACGACATTGTAAGTAATCAGCAGACTTGAGACTGTTTATAGTCTAGTCATATATGACAAATTACCTAAAAAAACTCTTAGAAGTGTAAAACTTGGTACGTATATTGAGTTTTACTTCCTGAATAACATACTAAAAGTCCTCGAAAAAAAAACTTGTGCTACGGCCGCCATCTTGGAAAATGGCGCCCAAAAACCAGTTTTTTCCCGATTACTCAAAAACTACGGTATTCATCCTATAAAAAAACATTAAATGTAAGAAATGCTCAACAAAATAAGAGCTACAACTTTTGTATTTAGAGTATTTCGATATAATTAACCGTTTAGCCATTAAATGCAATATTTAGAAAATAAATTTGAAAATTCTTAAAAAAACATTAATTGCCTTTAAAAAAAGTTGTAAATAAATTATTTAAATATGTATTTTATTATTTCAATTAAAAAATTGGAACGTTCTGAACATTTTCATACCATTAACATAACTTCCCTTTCAATTTTTATTTTCTGTGAAATTTTAAATGTCGTTGCTAGACTTACATAATAAAGTAGCATAATAATAATAACGCGGAAACTCTTGGCAAGCAGTAGAACTGCAGTGTGATGATGAATAAGGTTGGGGCATTTATGTAACAGGATAGGCCTACAATGATAATTGTTTGAATAAAAAAAATTGTATTAAAAGGTTTTTTTACTACATACGATATTATCCTATTTCCACAAATTTTAAGGGTGTTTTTAAAAGAATGCCGGGAATTAAAATGCTAATTGTTTGGGTACTATTGAAGGTAACTAAACGTTTTATATATCAAATTGAAGCTAAAATAACTAAATTTTATTTCCCTTGGCATGCGCAAAACAGGTGCGCAGTGGTAAGCCGCTATTGTGACTCATACGCTTGACGCCAGTCACCAGTACGACGGTTTACGGCACAACAGAAGACACAGATTGCAATCTGTGGTTCGCATAGTTTATATCTATCGCTGAATTAAACTAAATTTAAATCTACTTTATGATAAAAAGAAACTTGAAGCTGGTTTGATGAGTTTCGTGGCACCGAAGTGTTTTGAAAAGACATTCACCTGGCCAGCTAAAAACAAGCGATGACATAGTCGAAAAATCCGACAATTCTGCACCAGAAGCCCAAAAAAGTCGGTTTCCCGACGAAGTCTTCAGTTGAACAAACCTAAATTGGTCACTTGATGATGTTATCCATAAAAGATAGAGTTGTTTTGCCGAAAAAGATTGAATTAAGCATCAGATAAACCCGCCGATCGCCTTAAGCGACTTTGCCAGTTTTACGATCATATAAGATTGATGAAAATCTGAATTTTAGTAAATCATTCCGAATCGTATCAAGTAATTAGAAAAAAACGTTATTCTTTTCCCTTCAATTTGACGTTCAAACCATTTAATTATCTTCCATAGTCCCCGAGCAACGACTGTTTGAAATCCTGGCAATTAAAGCCTTAATCCGTTGGTAAATTTCAATATCCATTTACTAAGATAAAGCTAATGCATAGGTGTTTTTGTGAGGGCTTTTGTTATGTTATTTCAGTAGGTAAATAAAACATACATACCTAATCCCATCCTTGCACCATAATGAACTCAATATGGGATTATTATGGTAGTCTATCAACGAAAGCACCAGCAGTGTACCATTTAAAATGTCACAGCAAATATAAATGGAAAGGAAAAGTAATGTTAATGGTATGAAACTGTTCAGAAAATTCCAGTTATTAAATACAAATAATAAAATATTTTTTTTATAGTTTATTAAAAAACCTTTTTTATCGCAATTAATGTTTTTTAAAGAATTTTCAAATTTATTTTCGAAATATTGCATTTAATGGCTAAACGGTTAATTATATCGAAATATTCTAAATACAAAAGTTGTAGCTCTTATTTTGTTGAGCATTTCTTACATTTAATGTTTTTTTATAGGATGAATAGTTTTTGAGTAATCGGGAAAAAACTGGTTTTTGGGCGCCATTTTCCAAGATGGCGGCCGTAGCACAAGTTTTTTTTTCGAGGACTTTTAGTATGTTATTCAGGAAGTAAAACTCAATATATGTACCAAGTTTTACACTTCTAAGAGTTTTTTTAGGTAATGGAGAATTTTTGACTTAAAATGACTACACTATTATTCAACGTTTTACTTTTTAAAGGATTTTAAGATTCTATGACAAACACCTGTAGTAGTAATAACTGTCTCATAACTAAAATTTCATCAGGATCACTTTAAAATTTAATTCGTTCTAACTTAACTTTTTCCAACTTAGACTTATTTTAAATCAACACATGAATGTTCTCTTAGTGCTATAAGTTTTAAATAAGTAAAAAACCTTAACCTTTGATTCTTGCACTCACAAATTATTTTATTTTTCAGCTTAACACCTTTAATGGATGAACAGATCTCCATTCCGCTTGTTCAACTTAACTCCAGAAAAGAAGGTAAGACTATTTTGGACTCGGCTTTTCATTCTTTGTTTGTTAGTTATTTTTCACTAGTGGTCAAGACAAGAAATGTAATCTCAAATCAAAACTAAAGTCATTAAACCATTCAAACTTCCTAACTTTTATCTTCCTTGAATCGCAACAATACCTGTCCAAATTCTTTAAATGTAGCTAAGGATCCAATAATAGAAATGAGGGTGCTTTTCCTTATAGTATGTGAGTTGAATATCAATATTTCTGTTGCAAATCAAGAAAGGAAATTGTTGGCACTTTTTAGTTTTGTTTTTCAAATCTAAAAATAATTTTGTTCTATGTTTTTGGTGATTTTGAGGTTCGAAATTTCATATCGTCAACATAAATTACAAGAAAAACTAAAGTAGCCTATACATTAATCATTAAACATGAATCAGGAGTTGACATCTGAAAGCAAATGCAATAAAGAACTCATGAAGACTTTAGTATACCAACATTTTGGAGCTTCTTTTAATCCATATAGAGATCTTCAGAATTTGCACACGATACCAACCTTGGTAAAAACTTTTTAGGTGGTCTTATATACACAGGGTGTGTTAGCTTCCGATTCAGATATTCACACTTAACAAACTATTGACACAACAACAAACAATGTATCTACCGTACAACCAAAAGTGAAAGTAAAGTTCTTATTGTACTGGTGCGAATATTTATTCAAATGACTTCTCTCCCTCAAAAATCTTGGGAGCAATAAGCTGTGCCTTATTCACTATGTTGCCATTAACAGATTTTCCTGAAAAATCTACTGAGAATCAATTACATCAGCACATTTTGGAGATTTCCAAAAAGGGATATCAGATCAGAAGTTTCATATTTATTCCACGTTCAGTTTCTTCCACTATGCCATTCTTCATCTTGAATTGATTTTTCATAAGTCGTTGGTCCTTATAAAAGTTCATCCAGAGAATAAACAGCAGCTACATAATTTATCTCATATAGCTATGTTGGGAGTTTCTTTTCTCTCGTTGATCGTCTTAAATCGTCCTGCGATTTGTCCAGATAGCTGTCGTCAACCTCCGGTTTTTGTAAAATACTCTTGGTTTCAATTACTAAAAATTTTCATGCGATGAAGAATTGGTCAGAATGCTCTTCAAGTTCTTCGTTATTGTATGTCTTAACTTTCTAAATACCACATACATTACTAGAAACAACTTGAAGAATTCATAAACATACATTAAACAGACTAATAGAATTGCTTCAACATTTTCCACATTAGAATAAAATTGATTTGAAATGAATGAATAATTTTGCAGCAAAGTAAATTTTCCTTTAGAGCTTAATATATGATCTATAGCTGTGAATTGTTAAAACGAAAACCCTGAAATATATTCTGAACCCGGAAATTCATGATCACTTAAATCCCAGTGTTTAGGCAAGTAGGCTACATTAGATAATTTAGTATAGAATACTTGCATGAAAAAAAAAAAAAAATCCAAATTCTGAATTTGTCTTTATTTTATTACAGATCCTGCTCTCAGCACTGCGCTAAGAACATTTCCTAACACATTAATCCTTCTTTATGTTCGTTTTTTAACTAATTATTTTCTATCAATTTTGAAAATGCTTTATCTTGTTGTATGACAAATTTTGTTTAAACAACCTGTATTAATAAAAGTATTTCTTATAGTTGTCTAAATTTATCTTACCCAATTATTAGACTATCTCTTTAGACTAAAACTAGTAGGAAGAGGAAAAATTGAGGGTGAATACACCAAAGATAGAAATTAAGTAGGTAAATAATGGAAGTATTTATAGTTTTAAAATGTAGAACAAAGCTCACATGTCAACAATGGGTTTACAAAATAATACAAAATGTGGATGTTGAGCATACGGTAACCATTACTGACATTCTCCAGAAACATGACCAGCAGTAACAACACCAAAGCTAGCGCTCTTACCAAAGTTAGCGCTGCTAAACAAAAATGTCTCAAATCTATTTTTGATATGTGCTGCAACCGGGAAACCAAGATGAGAACTATAACGCTTGGTTTTTTTATGGTAAAATGATGGTTTAAGAGTTATTCGTGTTAGGTTTGGATCGGTCGAGCAGTCTAAGGCAGAAGAACACTGTAGATTAAGCAGCAATTAAATTACTGAAAAATCCATGCAGTTAGAAATAGTTTCCTTAGGCTACGGCCACACGGGCGTTTTTTCACGCGGTAAAATGTAGCTTATTTTCACGCTGCTTGAATTCCCGCTGTTGTATGCCACACGTGCGTTTTTTTCACGCAGTAAAATGTAGCTTATTCTCACGCCGGTTAAAGTCCAGGAACGGCAAAATGCAGTGGAAACCCGCAGTTGATTGACAAATTTACGTAATTATGTTATATATCATCCTCATGGCCGGAATAGTAACCTTGTTTCTGACTAGTGAACAAGAAATATGAATGGTATATTGATTTCAATACTAAAACAATACTAAAATTATTTTATTTTGTTAACCATTCATTTAATTTTTTACATTTAGTATAAAAAAATGAATATAATAGCCTATATTAATTTCAATAGGAAAACAACAATAAAATTATTTTATTTTGTTAACCTTTCATTTAATTATTTACATTTAGTATAAAAATAAATATAATATATTAATTTCAATATGAAAACACTAAAATTATTTTATTTTGACATTTAGTATAAAAAAATAAATATATAAATATTTTTATGACAAGATTTTCATGAGATCTTTGAATATTCTACTACATAAATGCCTCTTTACATTTTTTAGTCCAACTAAATGCCTTTCCTTTTAGTAACAAAATATTAAGTGGTCCAGTAAGGTCGACATATGTTTAAGATAAAACATGTAGGTCTACTGTGTAATTGGCTAGACCCAAAAATATTTTACGCTATCCTGGACAAAATTAGATACATTTATATTTATTTTAACTTGCTAGAACAACTTGATCAAAGCTGCGTGTTGCTCCCGCCCGTGTGGCCAGGGACAGAGCGTGAAAACAAGCTTCAAAAATGCACCCTAGTCCATTCTTCTGCGGGCCCGCGGCGGTCGATTTTGAAGACGCGCCTAATCTGCGTGAAAACACACTCCGTGTGGCATACCTCATTACATTTAATGCTGCCCATATTTCTCGCGTTTTTTCACGCTGCGTTCTTGCGTGAAAAAACGCCCGTGTGGCCGTAGCCTTACTGTGTGGTTTTATGTTATAAGATGGATTCCCAAACTCTCAGATAACAGTTTGCACATCAACGAAATATTTTCTTTGACACTGGTTTGAAGTTAAAAAGCTTTTTCAGCCAAGGAATGGATTGTGTTTTTATTTTACCATTGATTGAAGTCACATTCATCCTAGCATTTTAATTGATATTTTGCTTGTTGTCAGTGTTACCCGCACTTTCCTAACGACCTTGAGATTAAAACTAATTTTATGTTTCGAAACATATAAAAGTCAAAGCACTCATTCATTGATTCATCACTAATTCTCCAACCTCCAGACTAGCTAGGAGGCTGAAATTTGGTATAGTGATTCTTTAGGTATTAAATAGGAAAAGGAAGTAGTTTTTATTCTGATCCCACTTTCGAGCTCCACCCCAGTGGCTCTGGAAATCTATAGAACATAAATATATTTTCTTTGGCATTCTCTTCCTGTTTCGAAGCAGTAAAAAAGAGAACTAACTGCACTACTGGCAAATTTAGTTCAAGGGTATGCTTATAATTATTCTCAGTGAAAGGAGATACAGCGGGAATAGTATTTTGGTGAAAAATATCATGTAGTTTGTTCCAGAGGGATTAATATGAAGCTCCTGTTGAAAGGACAGGTAGACAGTTAGTTAATTAATGCAAAAGGCAATTCCAGTCTTCAGCGGGTTCTTAGTAATAAAAAAAAATTAAATCATGCAAAGCTGACGGGTAACAGCCAGTGTGATGATAAATTAATGGGTTACCAATTAGAGTACATAGTGACAATACAAGTACATTTGGTATTTGATCCAATAACGAAAATGAATAACGAAATGTGGAGTCTAAATAGATTTTCAATATTCTATGTCCCCTCAAATGCAGTACGGTAAAGTAAACTTAAAATAAATATAGAAGAAAAATGGTAGGTCTAATATAAAAAATAATTTTTATCGATGGTGCAATTTAGTTTTAAATTAACGAGTTAATCACAACCTTACCATCAAATAGTTGTTGTTTTTCTCAATTTAGTACTAAAGAATAAATTTGGAAAGAAACTTACTGAATATCTGTCTTTATTGGAGCAAAGACGTTAAAGGTAAATAATTAACATCGATGCTAATGAATTAAGAAAATTAGTAAAAATCTGCACTAGTTCTGAAAAATTATACTTCTTTCCCAACCCTAAATAAATGTTTATCAAAGCACAATTTTAAGCTCTGACACAACCATAGCTCAAATTATGATGACGGTACTGATGTTCAAGCGTTAGTAATTTAATGCAGCTTAACCACTTGTATTGACTTACCTGTCGTTTACGTGGTTGGCTGCTTGCTTCTGTTATTTACTGATCCATCATCACAACCATGTTAATTCTGCCATTGGTAAGTTGTTTTCTGCTCTGTAATTCTGTTTTAAGTTCTCAGTGGATAAGTTTTAGTAAGGTGACAGTATTTCAAATGACTTAAACAATGTTTTTTACTTTCGTACACATAAGATTGAATTCTACCCAGTTGAATTACAAAAAAACTATCTGAATAGTGATTGTGGAATTGGAAACTAAAATCATAGCTTTTACGTGTATATGTTTAACAGGAGTTGCTGTATGGTTTATATTTTGTTTGATTTTTGTTTCTTTAGATTTATACTACTTTCAAACTACAGCCCTAAAACTGTTTGTCTAGTACCAATAGCTCAGGGGGGGGGGGGTATTGCTAGCCCTCCACTTTTATAGCTAAAAAGAAAAAGTAAAAATGATTGCAACCATTGAATATACACAGCAGTGCAACATATACCAATACCCTAAAATAGTATAGAAACAATAGGCCCACACTAAAATCCAACCAGTGATTATTATCAGTCCATGGTTAAATGTAGCACATCAAAACATGCTGCAGATTTTACATTCAAAGTCTATGCTATCACTTACATCTCTAATCTATTCTAATGTGAATAATAATAACCATGCCAAATTGCCTTGTTGGATTTTTAAGGATCATAAAACCTTCGTAAGTGTTTTACAATCCAAGATAATTGTATCTGATGTTAATTTTACAACAACACAAGAATAACAACGCATGATAACAAATTCATTAAAGGTACAGACGATCATCATTGCACAATATAGTTTCCAATTCCCCCAAGAGAGTTAACAACAGTGTCAAACAAAAACAGCAATATCTTGTATGTTAAAAAAATCTCTCCTATTTCAGGAAATGAAATAAACTAATTTACCTACATTATCCTGTATTGTATTTACAGGGATTGGCAATTCTAACAATAACCACGCCTGCCCTAGGAAGAATCTTTTGGATAGACCAAAACCATCTAGGGAAAGAGGAACAGTGCAAAGAATTGCTAGTAGAACATTTTCTCACCCTTGGAAGATCCCAGTTCGATCCCGAAGTGGTTCGAGATTGTATCTCTTTCCTCAGGAGTAAAGATTTAGAAAACGATGGTATTTCACCCCAGGAGTTTTCAATCATCGGTAAACGTATAGATAACAAGATGTTTGATCAAATTAAACTCGCCTCTGAATCCAGTGGAAAGTTTGAAAAGTCCGAAGCTTTAGATAGTGAAATTAAAAACAATTCAAAGGAAACTGAAATTTCAGAATCAAAGACTTCTGAAACTTTGCCAAAGGATTCCGAATCAGAACCTACAAACGAAGTAGTCAACCTACACTCAGAAAATGTGAAGAATTCAAAGGGAGCTGAAAGCACAGAATCAAATCCATCTGAAACTTTGCCAAAGGAAGATTCTCAGGTAGAACTTCCCGATGATGATCTAGTCGACATATACCCGGAGAACATAATTCCTGAATGGCCTGCTGTGCAATTGGTGAGGAAAAGGAGAGAAATATCAGAAAATCTGTTACAGGATTCGAACCTAGAACTGTCCAATGATGTAGTTGACCCGGAGAAACTAACACAGGAGTCAGCCCAAATGACTAGGAGGAAAAGAGAGGTTAGAACAGCAAAAATTATCTCGGCCAAAACCAAAAAAGACACCAGCCCAGACCCTCGACCGACTCCAGAATGGGAGAAATATTCATTCAAAGATGAAGCAACTCTGGACGTTAGAGGTAGAAATCGGCCAAACACATTCTGGAAGTTGATTAAACACTACGTCAGTCTTGTAATAAATAGGATTAAAACATGTCTTGGACTTGTGCCAAAAGTAAAGACGTCTGGAAACTAAAATCTTGTCGGTGAGTTCAATTAATAAATTGAATACAAAGTTCTGTCTGACCTTTTTGACTTTTAATTGTACCTGAGTGAACTAAGGTTTGTAGGAGTTAGTTATATTGATATAAACACATTCTAAATATATTTTATCATACAGCGTCATTGCCTCAGTGAATTTACAAAACTTGTGAATGAGTTCCGATTTATACTTACAGCCTGTTAACTATATTTCTTTTGTGTTTAAAAGGTTGAATTGTAAGTTTTATAGTTACCGACACTAAGGACATTAATGTTAGGCTTTCATTTAATTTTTCTATTTCTGTATGTGTGCTGTATGTGCTTTGAAGTTGATAATTTATCCATCTGTAAAAGCTTTATGAGCTAAAATATTTCTTTGTCTATAATTTGGACAAATATCTTTTTAAATAAAATAAAATGAACCCAGGATAAAAACAAATATAACTTAAAATTAAATCAAGATTGATAAAGTAAAAAAAATTGAAATTTAAAAGATTTTATTAGACTTTAAAATAAAAAAAAATATCTTAGTGACAAAGTATTTGTACCATTTCACAATTAATTATATAATAATAAAAAAGTTGTATATTCATGTATCACAATTTTTACATCATACAAAGATGAACATTTACAATAAATGTACCACACTGCAACAGTATATCATGGAGTCCATTTCCTCTATCATAACAATGTTTTAGTATAACTAGGTTGTTGTGAAATATGTTTGCTGCATAAAACAACTCACAAATCATGCATATTCTACTTGCATGTTTTTAATTGATAACGATAATTTCCAACAATCTCTGTGGCAGTTAAAATATGATGGATTTCATTCTGAGTAACAAATATTTTTGTCATACTGCGGCAATAACAGCCGTTTTTAATACATGAGATGAGGATATACAGTAGCTTGTTTTCTCCCTAGGGAGTAAAAAGCTTTTTTAGTCCCTAGGAAGTAAAAGTCAGCTTTTAACTCAGTGGTAAACTCTGATTGTAAGCAATCGCATGTATCGATTTTTTAATTCGGTTGTAGCTTATTGTTCTATTCTTGTAAATAGTTTGACATATCCATAGTATAACGTACAACACAATCGTAATAGACAAAATGCTTGAATCACTTACTAACAGCTGCATGTTTGCATTGGTGATATTGAAAACATGTTGTCCCCAAACTTATCAAGAAATTTTAGTTTGGTAATACATATACAATTTAAAACTCACCCTTTTGATTTTTAAAATTAGGCTTATGGGTTGCCATGATGGTTACGAGATAACAACGTAAAAATTGAAATTGATTTTTGTAATAATTATTACTCCAAGGATAATAGTTCATTATTGAATTTTTATTATCGTGTCTTTTATTGAAATTCGTTAGTACAACTTTTTATACCTATCCTACTGAAAAACAAACTTATTCATATTAGATTTTTATAAAAAATGTATTTATTCATATTGGATCGTATTAGTTCAAAACTACTCATATGTTGGAAATTTGCTTCATCTATAGGTTTTACTGAATAAAAAAATCGTATTCATATTAGTTCATAATAGATTTTTTATGAAAAAAATTATTTATTTACTTTGGACCGTATTAGTTAAAAACTACTCTTATGTTGGAAATTGGATTCATCTATAGGTTTGCCACACTTGGGAGATTTTGTCATTGGAACATGGACATGACATGATTTTATACTTAGATCTAGGGGGAAATTAGTTACTATTTCTGCACTACTATTGACTAAAAGATTTTTGAAACATCATATTTTTTTAAAGCCAAGGTTATTTGCCTTAAAATATTCAGAATCAGTTAAAAAAATGCAGGGATGTAAAAATTTACACAGCAAGATATTTCTTAATTAAATTTTACTACATAGTTTATGGCTTTTAAAATAACCCCGTTTATTTCAGAGCCTGAGAAATGAATTAAATTATCAAGTCAAATAAGGGGACAAAGAGTTAATGTTTCATTTATATACGACACCTTAACCATATACAAAATGTTGACGTTTTTACCTATTCCTCATGAAATGCTAAAATACTTGGATACCCTACGAAATGAGTTCTCCCATGATGTTGATAACTTTGGCGATTTTATTCAGTCACAGAAGGGAATTAATGAATGTGAAGTGAATTTCATTATATTTTACAGTGTTTTTCTTAAATATACATTATCAGTATCTTAATACAACAAAACACTTAAGACGCCTGTAGAAGTGTTCTTATGTTCATTCTATGACCTGTTTTATTCATAGTTCATTTTATATGGTCACTTGCATTGAATATTTCTTATCCAGACGGGAAAATAAAATATCTACAATACTGAAATCTCCTTATTCTCTAAATATATTATTGGTTTTTATCATGACTATAGTGTACTAAAACATGTGTGCACCATTGATTTCTTAATGTAATTTTTCCTTCAAACTAACTAAAGAACTGAAACTTGGTTTAAAATGTACATTAAAAATAGTAGAAACGTATTTGTTTATTTATCTATTACTGCATTTTTACATAACAGATTAAATTGGTTTCAAATTATTTCACCACTTGTAAAAAATCAGTTACAAAATATGACTAAGCATATATTACTATTATAATGAAAGTTTTAATTCTGCAAAATTCCAAAATTAAATAGCTAATTAGGATAATTCAAGTGTTTGCAATGAGAGTCCCATATTTTGTTCAAAAGCTCTTGAATTGTTCAAACTCCACTTGGCTGAAGAAGAGGACTCTTTAGGTTTTTATTTCACCGGATGGGCTGCTATTCAGATCATAAATATATGTATAATACAATATTATTTAAGAGTTATTGAACAAGAGTTCCTAACTTAACTCTTAGTTTTTGTTTCCTACAACCAGACACAAATAATTAAATTATTGTTTTTTAGCATGTATCAAAATCTCAGGATAGTAGTTGATGTAGTCATTTTATTATTGATTGATATACTTCATGCACTATCATACACTGCAATTATATAGGAATCAATCTGACAAGTAAAGAGAGATATTACAACAATTTTACAGCTCAATAAATGCAGGCAGACTTTGTGAATTTTAATCAGACTCAATATTGATTTTCTCTGAGACCCTCCTGTTCACGTTTTGGTTTAAGAGAAAATTGAAAAGGAAATTTACTTAAAACATAGTAATATTCCCTCTACGAATAGTATGAAAAATTGTCAACCCTAATAATAGAAGAATTTCTTTAGAATTGAAATAAAAAGTTATCTTCAAAGGAACGTTAAATATCTAAAACATTTTTAGTATAGCTTTCATACACGTTCACATACAACCGAAAACAAACTACTAATCATTCATCTACCTCAATAAGTCAAGTTTCTTTGGGTAAGATTTATCAATTAGTTGATTATTGAAATATTTTGTATTTTATTTAAAAATATTATTGTAACAATTTTTTTTTAACAGCAGCCTATACACTTTGTAATTGTGAATATAATATTAACTTTTTCATAACCATTGATATAAATTTTATTTTAAAGCAAGATCTTTTCTCCAAATTTTCTTGGGTTTTAATGTAGACAAAATTGGCCGAGTAAAGCAAAATTAGATTACGGAAATAAGGCTTCTTTTATCTGGACCAAGATGTCTTTTGATCAGCAAAGCAGCTTATCCTTGTTATAAGGCTGAGGAGCCTGACTTGAACTTGTCATAGATTAAGATTGTCTTTGTAGCATTAATTACGTTTTCACAATTATAATATTTGCTTCATTCGCATTTTTTATTTTCTTTCATAAAATTTGATCGTTTGATTAGTATTTTACATGAACTACGTCTTCCATAATTTTCTATATATAAAATGTATAACTACCGTAGGTATTGTGTATACACTATAGGAGTATCTGTAGTTTATCAACATATTCCTGCTACAGCAAACCTGCAAACTAAGCGAATAAATTTGTCTGATTGAATTTTTACTGGCATATTTCCATAAACAAGACATATTTAATTTATGATATAACCCAGTTACAAGAACAGTTTTAATCAATTAATTACCTTTTTGGTTTTTCTTGCCTTGAAGTTCTCGTTGGTTTTTGATACCTGATGCGCATTTCGCCACAGGTTGTGGCATCTTCAGAGTTCACTATCCTACACTTACATTCTAATATATACACAGTTTATATACACAAGAGTCACTGTACCGGTTCACATGGTAGCGTTTACACTCGCGGCGCGGCGGGCGTGTGTTGCGAGCGCGGGGTGTTTACTTGTGCCGGGATCGTTGTTAGACTGACAGAAAGAGTGTTTATTTTAAGTGTTATTTAAGAGTGTTTTATTAAGACATATTTATTCCATATCTAAATATCATAATATTTAACTACTGCCAAGGTTTGCTGCTGGTGAAATGTGAAAAGTGGGTTGTACTAAATCAATATTATAGTATACGAAACATTAATAGTAGCTATAGGATGAAATGAATAAATTTGCCAAATTTGATCAACATACCATAAACAAGTAAACTAAAAATGTTTTCTTTTCCTCCATAAGAAAAATATTGGAATTAAAATGTACATTTTTTTAAATTTCTCTGATACCTTTAATTATACAACAACACTTCAATATAAATGTTTTTTTGTTTTAAGGCTCTGGCTATAGTGAAAATTGGACATTTCCATGTTTTAAGAGAGAAAATATAAAAAAAAACATTTTTTTACACTTCTATTCAAAATGTTTATGACAAATAGTTGTGTTCGCCTACCAACGAACTCAAAACACATGTTTAGAATGACGTAAGAACACAATATGGTGACGAAAACATTGGCCTTTAGTTACAGAATCATTAGTTAATTGGAGTTAATTAGATCAGTAATGGCTGATGGCCAATTAGTGATGTGAGTTATAATAATGTATACTGACCTAGGGGAGATGGCTAGTGCTCATGGCATGTATAGTTAGTAAGAAAGATCTAATGCCAACTGATAAATACAGTGTGTCACATGTTAGATAAATACTTAACATCAATTTTGTTCAGGTATGCAATTTTCTCATACACTCCAGGTAATCTAAGCCATTTTAGATT